ATATAATATATATATACAACGACCTCTAGTGCATGCAGTGGTGCCTTACGTTAGCTGCCATGCATGCATGTAGATGACGGCATTATACGATACATATATATGCATATATGTGCTTATATGCATAATATATGCACGTATACATAAATATTATATAAACTGCTATTGTATAAGGTGCATGCAGTGACTGCATGCATCTGCATGCACAAACTTGCATGCACTCCTCTACTTATAATGCATGCGTTTTAATTCATTTTCTGCTCTTTCTCTCTCCATCATTTCTACATCTTCTTGTAAATGTTTTATTTTAAAATCAGCAACTGCATCCGCCATTCCTTTCGTCAATGTGTTCGTACCCGAGCCAAAGGCTGCAGCCTGCATTGCTAACACTAGCTGCAACACCAGGAACAGCAGCAGCACCAGCAAAAGAAGCAGCAACAGCAGAAGTCAAAGCAGCAGCACACACAGCAGAGACAAAGGGAATGAATAAAGAATACATGTTATAATGCATGCAAAACAAATGCATAAATAACATGACAACCCTAACTTTATTCATGAATATTGTCTGTATATTTTCCTAAAAATATATAATATATACATATATATAAATGTATATATGCGTGTATATACATACATGAATATAAATAATATATATAATATATATTGCATCTCTGTGCATGCCCTGCTGTTGCATCTGGTGCTGCTGCTGTTTGTTTACCTTAGCAAGTTGTCTGCCTGAGAATCCGTCAGTCCTTTCTGCTAAGGTTTTTAGGTAATCTTCGTTGATTTGTTTGTCTATAACAAGATGAATATCTTTTTGTTTCTTTTGTTTATTATCTTGTGCTTGTTGTTTACTTATTTCCTTATTTGTTTGTTCTTTTTCTCCTTCCTTTTCTTCTTGCACCTCATAACCTAAATAACGCTGCATAAATTGCTGCAACATTCGCAGCCTCTCTGCTGCCGCAGGCAAAGGAAATTCAAATTGTTCATCGACGCGATCCAGCACAGCCTGCAATAAGAAGGAAACAAAAATATGCAGCCCTTATTACTATTATTATTATTATTATTATTATTATTATTATTATTATTAAAGTTAAGTTATCCGTTGTCTCGTGTTTATATACATCTACGCAAATGCAACCATGCACTTGTGCTCCTTCTACACTGCCACGATCTCTTTCCTTAAGCACAAGTAGCAAACTCGTGACCTAATTCATACACTTGTTCATGCAACAAGGGAATACTACCAGTATAGGATATCCAGCTGCAATCACATGTGCTGCCGATGCAGCAGCAGCAACCGCAGCAGTTGATTCTGTTGTCGCTCGCTTTCACTGCCCTCACCTTGTCTAGTATTTCTTTGCAATTGGTGGCGAGCACAATGCAGAATTTGTTTGTTTCTGTTCCTGTGTGATGCAGAAAAGCTGAAAGCGCATTTCTGCTGTCCTCGCTCATTCCTTCGGTGGCGGCCTGTGCCAGTACCCCTCTACCTTGCCTCAAGAAGGCGTCTGCTTCATCAATAAAAAGAATTAAACCTTTCTTGCTCTTTTCTGCCCATGCAAACAACTTGTTTATCTCCGCCGCGCCATCGCGACCCAGTGGACCCACGTCCCCGCCCGTCATGATTGCATAGTCCATGCCAGAGGCCCTGGCCAGCCTGCAAACAAATATACAAACAAACACATAAGTTAATGCATATATCAATGAATTAATGTAAAGGGAAACGAAGGAAACAACAAGAAGCATGTCTGTTGAAGGCTGGGGGAAGTGAAGAAAATGGAGGAGAAAACGAGAAAATAACGAACCCAGAACTTCGATTCTAATACACAAATAGACATAGATTATAAAGACTATAAACACCTGCATCTGCTACTGCTGCTGCTGCTGCTAATGCTGCTGCTGCTTCTGCTCCTACTGCTCCTCATGCCATTGCTGATAATGCTGCTACTGCTGCTGTTACTGGTTCTCCTGTTACTGATTGTTTGTATGAGCGGCTGCATGCCCCATGGTTTCATTGTGTTTGCCTACGTGCGGGCGAAAAGGGTTTTGCCAGTTCCAGGTGGCCCATAGAGCAGCAAATGCCTGTAGGGTATATTATGGGCCTTAGCCGTTAAAAGCGAATTTGTTGTCCATTGCAGACGTTCACTCAACTCTTTCTCTAGAACCAACCGTTCCCCAAGGGCAGCAGAAGCAGAAGGAGTTCCTCCACGGAGGAAACGCAAGGGCGAAAAGAATGAGCGCTGCACAGGCACGCAGGAAACAACACCTCTTGCTGTCAAACATGTGCAGAGGACTCAACACACAACAGGGATCAACACAAGTGTCCAGCAGCCTCTCATGAAGTACGATAGTTGACACAAACTTACATATGCATATCCTACGACATACTCAATTATTCAATACAACTTTGTGCACTGTTAGCAGTTGCGCAAGCCCACCATTGTGCTTGCTCATTGTTGCCAGTGTGCGTACGTCCCTACTTTGTCTCTGTGTACCAATGTATCCCCAACACCTACGACTATGCAGGACCAAAACCCTAAACTCTAAACCCTAAAAGCTCACAGTTAATATCCAACGAGAAGTCTCCCTAACAAGTGGGGGTTTCCCCATTCGCGTCTCCTGCGAAGGAAAATGCACCGAAGAGAAAAGGAAAGCATTCTGCGTCTTCTTCTTTGAAGAAGACGCAGAACGTAGCTAAGGTTTGGAGCTTGCCGATCGCTCCCGCCGTTAATGATCGCAAAATGATTGTATTATTTACGAAATACGCAAGTATCAGCAGAATTGTTTAATAGCTAGCCTGCCGAAACTCAACTCAAAGCCTACGCACTAGCAACACATTAAAATATAAAGCCTTACAAAGTAACGGGCCCCTAAGCTGGCAGCGGCTCTTGCGCCGTAAATGCCGGCAGCTAAGGCAGTGATACTTCCAACCTGTAGGCAAGAAAGACACAAGGCAGGAAAGGATTGCTAAGTGTGCACGCACAGGCGGAGGCACAGCAGCAGCAAGCGCATACACATAAGTACGTTTGCACACCTGTCAGCCACACCACAGATGCTTGTATATATATTTAACGTAGCAGAAACACAGAAAACCGGAAGTGTAAAAGAATGACAAAACCTAGCGTAAGCAGAGAGAGGTGACTCAAGGTATACCAACGAAATGTATCATAGAGAAGCCAACAGAGGTGCATATAAGCAAGAAGGGAGACTGAGATCGTTCCAAGCCAGATACACCAATAAAAGAAAACAAGGAAGGAGCCGCAGGATAAACAAACAGGAGGCCAAACCAAAGGACTGTAATCTAGGAAGTACAAGAGAAACGAAAATCGAGGCAAATGCAGTGCTCATGGGAAAAGGGCGAACGAACCAAAGTTGTCAACTGAGTCTTATCGGCCATTAGCCGAGAAAAGGCACCGCCTATTGAACTAAATGTCATTTGTAAGCTTTCCAACTTCGTCTTCCTGTCCTCAGCTGCTTTTGCCCGCAGAGTCCTGTACCATTCACAAAGTCAAAGTAACCCAACACCGAAGCCCTCCACAAATGCTTTAGAAGTCCTGATGGCGGTCGTTTTGCGCTTTGCTTGGGAAACCAAATAAAACCGAATTTATTCTAAATGTCGTGCGTGTATGTCTGGCCGTCTAGAGGTGTTGGCGTTGTGTAATGTATGCAATTTTAATGCAAGAATGATTTTTCCCACCTAAGGTGCACGTCTATATTTTCTCTCTCTTGCATGATTTTGGCTTTCGCCTCTTCCCGAATTCTTTCGGCCTGCAACTTCTGTTCTAAAGCCTTTTCCTCTCGCATTTGCTGACGCCGCATTTCTAGCATTTCCTAAAAAACAAATTCACACACAGAGCACAAGCACTCCTTGTCTACATTGACTGGATCGCTGACGCTGCCGTGTTTGTACTTATGGAAGAAGAATATATTGGCAGGTACTGTCTCGTGTACTGCAAGCCCGCATACAGGTCCTAATGCAAATACGAACGGCAGTGAAACTACGTTACGTCAGCAGTTACGGAAGGGTTTCGTCCTGTACAAGCTGCTCACAGCTTCTGTCTTCTTTCGTTGTTCCTCCTGTCTTAGGAACTGTTGGTGTTGTTGTCGTAGCCACTCTTCATTTTGCCGTTGCTGGTCTTGCAGCTTCTTCTGATACGCCTCCCTGCGAATCCAGTGCGCACATGGCCAATGCTAGCTCAGCGACGAGGAGGGAAAACGGCGAAGACGAACCAAACAAATAATTATACAACTTCAGAAACTCTTCAAAGAACAATCCTACGGACAACATCTGCTTGATACAACAAGGTGGCATAATTTGCCAACCTACGCAAGTGGTGCGTGCCGGCCACCTCAATAAATCAAGGGAATAAATCGTAGTACGAATAAGGACTATGCCGAGTGCAAATAAACGGCAAGAATCTAGTTGTCTTTATGATGAAGGGGAGTTATTATAAGAGTAGAAGGAGCTATTCATAATATAATGAAAGAAAACAGTATTTATAATGCATAACAGTTGCAGGAAACAGCTATTACAGTACTGCCCAGCGGCAGCCGTCTTACGCTTCGAGCTTTGCTTTGTACTGCGCAGTGACCCTTTCTTGTTCCTGCTGGTGATCTATTGTCTTTCGTCTCTCTTCGCCTTCTGTTCGAGATCTCTCTGCTTGTGCTTGGGCCCGAGCAGCAGCAATCTGTATAATATGCATGCAATACAGGAGGGCATTAAGAAGTGCAAAACCTTTGCTGCTTGCTAGCTGGGGTGCTCCCCTGAAGCAACACCTACTTATACGGTGCTTGGTATTTGCTTGCTTTGTTTGCCTAAGTACCCATAGGAAAGGAACAGCTGCGCATAACTCTCACCTGTTCCATCTCCTTTTGGAGTTCTTTCTGCTTTGTCATCTCCTGCAGTTTTATCACTTCGAAAGCCCGTGCCGCATTGGGGCTGCTGTCCAGTTGTTTTAGAGCCTTTGCACCGCGCTCTAAGGCAGTTGGGTCAACTTTGAGCAGCAGAAGACAGGACAGCACAAGGAGAGAGTGGCGAAAATAACTTAAAAGTGAGGCAAGCATGTCGCACAGAAACATGTCATGACTACTGCAGTGCCGATGCAGGCAAGAAGGCAACAAAAACAGACTTGATTTAAACGAAAGAGATGCCGTAAAAATGTTGTATTTTCCTTCGTATCCGATGGTGGGCAATGAATGTCCCTTCATACATGTTGAAAGTTTGAGGTTGCTCACATTTTCCAGTGATGTTTTCGCCTTCTTCGCCCTTCTTTGGAACAGCATTTGGAATCGCCGCCGAAGGAACTGCGGGCGATCCGCCGAAAGACGGGAAATACATTTTTCTGTAAGTGCAAAATGGCAATTCAGGAGAAAGAGATGGGAGACGAAGAAGTCAAACACTGCGTGAGTCCTACCCACGACGTTCAAATAAACAAGGCCACTGGGGCGTCCTTCACTGCCAATAGAACAGGGGAGAGAATAATGACAACTGTGACGGTCTATTCAGGGAAAATTGGGCAGGACAGCTGGGGTGTATGCCTCCAACGAAGACCCAAAGATCCCCACTAAACCTTCCAGATATTAGACTTTTAAATAGATGTACACGGAAAAATGAAAGTTTACGTATTAAAGAAGTGCAGTTTATGGTGGAAGGACCGATCTCGATGATCCCTCAATCAGTGTGCCACACGAGACCCTCCGTTTCCCCCCCTTGCCAAATACGAAATCTCCCCCTAACGTTGTGTTAAAAACATAAAAAGATCCTCATATCTGAATAATAGGGGGAAAACGAAGAGGAAGACAACACTGCAGAATTCAACTAACGTGGGGCGGTACCAAAGCCCCGAAGAAGGGGGCCCTCTGAGTACTTCCCTGCATTGACCTACGACTCAGTATACATGGCGCTATCTTAGTGTGAATAATCGAGGCAGTGCTACTTAGATGAAGAATATCGTATTTACTCCATTCGAAGGCAGAAAAAGTCCTCCATAGACTTACATGAGCACAACCAACAATATACATCAAAGCGTTAGGTTACTGCTGTTCTACGTATAGCCCAATTTAGACATAGTCAAGCGCCCAAGGGCTCTACGAGGCGGCTGCGTTGTGCTGTTTTTCAAAAAAATATAAAAAGACCCCGATTCAGGTGAGTTCACTCACTTAGTTCCATCCAATGAAATAATGTATATTTAGTTCCAATTATATTCATCAATGTAGATTGAACATTCAATGAACAGTGTTCCACTAGACAAATTGACACGAACAAACTGCCGCCTTCGCACTAAGCTCGCAGACGCTGTACCAGTAGCGGCCCTTCGTGACCCATCCATGCAAATAAGCGCTTCGCTTACCGTTATCTATAGCATAACATGGCCGATGTTGGCGAGTGTGTCAGCAATTGGTACATGAACAATTGTTTGGCCTTAGCCGTCGACAGGCAGGAATGAATAAGCCTTCCACAAGCGTTTACAGTGTTTCTGATTACAACCGAGAAGATTTGGTTGCTTGCATCGTGGGGTGTCTTGCGGCATAGTTGGTGCGCTGCAGGTCCCGGCAGGCTGACTGCTCTCCCGTAAGTGCAGGCGGTTAAGCCGGTAGAAGTAATGGGCAGTGAAGAATGGAGACGTTCTCAGACATATGAGCAAACATCACCTAGCTGCCGTCTACCAGTGCAGTTGCCACCTGTTTAGTCCACAGGCTGCATTGTGACAACTGACCTCCGTATTGGTTTCTGTGACAGCGCTACCCGTAGTTACTGCACATTATCCGTAGCTCATTGCACACCTTCGAAGTCTTAAACTAAGTGACCAGATACTGCAAACACGATGTGCCACTTAGTATGTTATCACTACAGTGGTGGCAAATTCAGCTGCCGTCAATAATCACTTCCTGCCTCCTCTTGAGGGGCAAGGCATCCACAATCCCGAAATCCACTCATTCAGTGGTCAAAGTATTTCTATACTACTTTAATGCTGTTCCAGCTTGGACAGGAGGAATGCTAGTTAACGCAATAAGTGGAGTCCGCCCCCTTGGCATTGAAGTACTTCATACTGCAACGAACTCAATTCGCTTTCTCCTGATGCTCTCCCGCTCTACCCAATCGGTTACAAACAGGCGTTTCCCACTAGATAGTCTTGTAATCAACCACTATAGATGTGTGCCCCGTCCACTTCTAAGCTTCTACGCACACAGGACTATGCCGCCCTATACGTGGCGGTGAATGCCTGGCGAGCCAGAGTTTCACAATTCCCACTCCCATGGGTTGAAGATCCACGAAATTTTAAAATTTCATGTTTACTTACTTAAGACGGTAGGACTGCTACCTAAACAGCACAAGGTCTGTACTAACAGCAGAGAATGCGAAAGGTCCTACTATATCGTCTACTTAAGGCTCAGAACCGAATCACCTACACCCGAAAGCACCTCCCCTTAATGCAAAAGCCGTATTGAAAAAATCCCATCCCAACTCTGTTCCAAAGAGCCACGCCCTCGTCTCGCCCCACGGCGCGGACAAAATGTGCAGCAACGCCACGAAAAGTAAAAACGGATACATTAGTTGCGTTCTTCAGTAACACCCAGGGTTGGGCAGCTACCGCCCAGCCGAGCCAGCAACGCGGTATCATAACTTTTGAAAAATTGAGTAAAAACCATGACATCCTTGATAATGCACGTCACGCAGCTGGGAAACTGCACAAGCAGATCCTCGCCTCTAATTCCGAGTATTAATTACCAATACAATGGGGATACTTTCCCCTGCACACGTTAGTACCGTTACCATCCAACCAAAATCAACGAACAAAACCTCAGGGCTGTGCTCCACTCCGGAAGCAAGCGCCCTGAAGACTTCCAAAATGCCCCACGCCAAAGGCTAGACGGCGGTTGGACCCGCTGCGTTGGTCTGCGCAGCTAGCGCGCTATAACATGCGTGGCAGTGCTCTCTGCGAGCCGTTGCTACGCGTCGGCATCGATCAAATCGTTCATAGTCTTCTGTATGGCGATGTTGACCATTGTAAAGTTGGCGTTCGACGCAAGATCCTTGTGGTTGATGAGCACTGCACCCTCAATATCCTCTCCAGTCAACCCAAACTTCTTCTGTACTTTCGCACCCACGTATGCTTGCGCGGCCAGAGTTATGACCTTGGTGTCAGCCCTGCCGTTGGGCCATGACCCAGCCTCTGCTGTTAAGCTCTGCAACTCGTCCCTCATGAACTCGTGCACCTTTATCAGACGGTCTGTCGTCATCTGGTACGCTTCGCTAGTGGGCCTGAACCACATGCGACAAGCAAAGGCCAATGATGCCGCATGATGCTTCATGCGACTGACATTGCTTATACTATGCAATGCGGTCCATAAATCATTAAGCACGCCGCTTGAAAGATTGCTAACGGAGAAGTGACTGTATGCAGGGACCTGCCAAGTCCTTCTGCAGACTTACGTTGGAGTTGAGGCGGCGCCCATGATACTCAGCACTGCCTGCTTCACTTCAGGATCTTGCTGGAACTTGTCAAGTAGTTGATCAAAACTAGTCATTGTCAAGCCATAGCGGGCCAGCGGATCCTCCGGGTGCTCCTTCGCCACCATGGCGCATGCCTCCTCAAAACTGCACAGCCCACCCACTAAACATTTCTGAATGCTGTGCAACAACAACTTAAGTGAAGCCATCCAGTCAACAGATAAACGGTGAGTGGCCCAACAAATTCCGACAATTAAACGATAGCTGCTTCAAATTTGCTCACTTACGTGTAGTCGCCTTCGACGAACTTCTGAGTGAACTCCTTCATCAGCCCCTTCATCTTCTCCTGAGTGCTCAGGATATCCCGGAGCACCAACAACACCTGCTCCTTGGTTGCCTGCAGAGAAGACCATTCACAATCAACACAAACGCTTCGTGAACAATCCAAAAGAAGCAGTTGCACAAATTTCTTTCAATGTGCATACAAGAAATCCGCGTGCATGCACTGACAGATTTTGCCACGGCAATTCGTAAACGTGTCTCCTACCTCGTTCTTGTTGAACTTCTTCGCCTCCGCCTCGTTCTCTTTGCGGCCTGACCCGTCATCTCTAAGGAGGTAATACAGCGCGAGGCCCGTGGCCGCCGCCCCACCTGCAAGCAATTCCCGCAAAAGTGCGCAACTCTAATCCACAACATCCACGCAGACACAAACGCTATGCACACTTCATATTCTTGCACCTTCAAATAGCCCAACGCACGCACAGGCACGCATCCGCTTGCTCAGTCATTCGCTTTCTGAAGGCGAAACAAGAACTCTTCAGGACTATCCGAGCCCAATGCTTTCATCACAGCGGCACAGGAAATGCAATTGCACCACACAAACCCTCCGAAGATGCCTTGCAACTCAAAATAATGCTCCACAGCCAATGCTGCGAAGAGAAGTTCAAACACATTCCGTTTGGTGCTGTTCACGAACCCAAAACATGCCACACCCGACACCAAAGTCAACAACGTCCAGAAAGAAATGTACCACTTACAGAACGCTACACCACCAAAACAGTTTACGTTAAGAAAAGAAGCGAAAACAAGCTACATACGAATGCGCCCGCCCTCAGTTACTAGCTATTCATAACAAAAAGATGCCTCATCAGGTGTCAGGGCCCAATGCTATCATCCGAGCAGCAGCGCAGCATTATAAGAGGATATCGACAAAACAGGGCTACTTTGAGAAAAACCACTAACACTGCATAAGAAAAGGCGGCAGCGATCAGTTTCTCGCAATTCACGCGAATTGGTGCCTCATCAGGTATCAGGGCCCAATGCTATCATCCGAGCAGCAGCTCAGCCTTATAAGAGGATATCGACAAAACAGGGCTATTTTGGAAAAAACCACTAACACTGCATACAAATGAGCGGCAGCTATCAGTTTCTCGCAATTCACGCGAATTGGTGCCTCATCAGGTGTCAGGGCCCAATGCTGTCATCAGCGCAAACACGGTATATCCAAAACAGTATGACGTTGAAAAAGCACCAAAACGACAAACAACACACGGACGCTCCGGCTGTCAGTTTAGGTGATACAAGTTAACAAATGGCTCATCAGGAGTCAGGGCCCAATGCTATCATCCGAGCAGCCAAGCAAACAAATTCAAGACAAATATATGCGTCCACATTGGCAATAAGCCTCCTTAACGGAGAAATACAAATGAGTACCACTACACAGCAGCAGACCACCACGGCGAGCATCCACGTTTGCCGTAGGGCTCTGTAAGGACTGCGCCCCCTACAAGCAGACAAAAGAATGCCTCTTTCACTGATAAGATGCAATGCGACACCGCAGATTTAGGGGGACAAATCTGCGGAAGACACTGGGCCGCCATTGTCTCGGGTCGGCATCAAGACAATGTCTGCAGGTCAAGAACCCGCCCCGCGCGACAGGTTGACTTGACAAAGAATTCCTGCATAGATCCTCCACTGATACGGCCAACAGATAATCTGCAGCCAACAAATACGGTTAGATACCGGGGGAAACGCCATCAAAACCCGAAGAATCTGTGGGGGAAGACAACCAAGGCAGCTGCGAAGTGGGGGGGGGCCACTGCTGCGGCAACACGCACCGGCAATTAAGAGCCATTGTTTCCACTCTTGCTTCATTTCCTAGAAGTTTACGGAAATGCCGATGGGGATTCAGGCGGGAACTGGTTCTGTGGCGGCTGGCGCACAGCCCACCTGGGAAGTCCGTCACCCACGGAATTCACACGGGCAGCGGTCCAATTGTGAGCTGACTACGCTTTAGAAACGCAAGTCCGCCAGCAGATAAGAGAACAATGTCGTAATTTTATTCAAAACTCGATGGTTTTGATCCACTGGACACCCAAACAGCAGCCGCCCGCCCTGCCCCCCCCAAAGCCCCAACCTTCCTTGTAGTGCACAGGCACTACAATGTGGCTCTGGTGTGATCTCTAGTAGCTCATTGACCATAAAGAGAAGGATTATGGCATTAGAAACTGAGAAAGTTAATTTATACTGCTAAATGTTCTAAGAATCGCGTACCGTAGGTGGAACCATAAGTTAGTAGGACTACCCCCGCCAGCTGCCACTATCGGCAGTGTAGCGTACTACCTAATCACTACTTGGGTTCTAGGTAGGCTCCTTTAGAGATCTAATTGGAAAAGAAACAGAATTATTACTACATAGGAGTATTATGTCTATAAATAGGACTTTGGTGGATAGCAGTTATAGGTCAGGTTCCTGACTGTGTCGTCACCGTTGGTATCCCCACGTCAATCCTATAGGTTGGGCGCTGACACCCAGCCATGACTGGGGTCAATGCAGATCACAGTTCTATTATTCTGGGAACTTCCCTTGTTTATAATAGAGACTCGAACACGATTTGGAATTTTAAGTATTGACCTATGGGAATTTGCGTAGTTAGAGGATGTACTTAGGAATCCAGACGCTATGAGACGATGAGTAGGCACAGCGTAGGACGGCTGCGCACTACAATTTGGGCTGTTCCAACCCAATGACCTCTTTGCTATAGTGGAATGTATAATGCGGATCAGCCGCAGCACAACCGCAGCGCCACGGTACAAGTTTATCACACGAATAGTATCTGCCGACCACCGGCTGAACAGAAGGCAGCAGAGGCGGCGTGGGCCAGCCAGCAAGCTAGCGAAATGAAGCGTGGAGACGGCAACGGCGGGGATTCCGTTAGTAGAGAGTACGCTGGTGGAGAGACCCGACTTAACTTATGCATATGAGTATAGAGGGGTTCTGTGCGGAGTGGCGCCAGAACTTCATGTTATTCCAGTTTCCCAGAGGTGGGGAAAGATGCTAAACCGTGAGAGCAGATCCGCACAGGCAGAGGCTGCTGCCTATGAGGGGGCCCCACAGAGGACAGGGGTGTAACCTGATGTAGAGTACACGCAGCAAGCAGAACACGAGCTCTGCGAAAGGGACACAGAAGGGGCGGGAGAGCCCAATAACCCGATTGACGAGGGTGTACAGACGCCATGGTGGCGAAGGGCTGATGAGACCTCAGAGTCCGATAGGTGCGGAGTGTGGTGCGGTGTGGCACTACCGCATTCCTTAGGACGGTTGCGCACTACATTTCTTCCCCGCAGCACGGCGATATCTTGGAAATCACTCAACTTTCTAGACACCAATCTAATTCTCCTGCTTCCTTAAGATATATTTTTTGAGGATAACCTACGGTGTCTTCGGGAAACCCTGAGACCTCAACGACAAGGCTATCCCCATGCTGTCACAACGGGGAGCATTGTGAGGTACCTTGCAGCAGAGTCTGCTAGAAGTAAGTGCATGCGCCCATGTTTCTGTGTATAATGGGTACTGGAACCCTAGCAAGTGCTTAACAATTTACTGTGGCAATCTTTCGTGAATGGGAGGCATTCAACACGCCTACCCACGTTGTCAGAGCCTGTTGTAGCGGTGTCCTGGGTCTTATACGCGAACTATTTTGAACTTGAGTGGAGTGAACGGGCCTTAAGACGAAGTTCCTTAAATGCACCTGAATTTCCTATCCATTATCCATGAGTCTTAAGCTCTGCAGCTCGCGGATTAGGGGCTGTGTGAGAGGACGCAGCCTGGCGTTAGTTGCAACGCAGACTCCTGCAACACCAGGAGTCTGCGTTGCAACTAACAAGGTGGAGGGGACGCTCACGGATAAGCACAAAAGAGCTTTCTTTGTTATATGGAGCAACCCTATAGACAGTTGTCGAAAGATTTAACTTGCGTACCGTTTACCTACTAAGGTCTGGCAGGGCTTCGTGCGCACACTTCAGACGGGCATGCCAACATTTCACAGGCTATGCTTCATATGCCTCCCCTTTACCTTCGCAAGAGGAGCACATGTCTTTGGGTATTGGTGTCGTTCCTGGACACCGCTTTGCTCAGTTGTAAATTCTCCTTGCTGCTGCGTAACTCAGTCGACCTTCCGCACTTTCTGCTGCTCCGGTCGCTTCGTATACGTGCATCACCGTCTCCAGCTTCTAGATAAGAGGCTGATTGCCTAGCTGGTCTCGACGAGGCTACGCAGAAGGCCACCTCCAGATGTGCAAAAACATGAACGCCGCCGTGTACTGCTCTGTGAGGCTGCTGTCTATGCTTACTCGGTTTGGGCCTCTGATGTTGGATAAACAACATAATAGAAGACGTAATGACGGCTTGTGAGCGAACCCCGTGAGCCACGTTGGCACTGACCAACGTCGCAGGCTGTCCAAACAAGATCAATGGTTCAAAGAAACGTAGTGTAGGAACGGCTTCCAACCTTAGGCTGCACTATTCACACCAATGACCGCAGAGATGGCTGATGAAGCAAGGATAGCCTGTAGCTTTTCGCGTAGAGTACCTTCCCCCAAAATATCCTGAAGACACAATTAAGTTTGCTGGCTCCATGGATATTTAACGTGGTTTTCTCACTCTTTTGGTCCCTATAGGAATCGTTTTACTAGTATTTAAGACCCCATTCTCCTTGAGGTATTGGCGATGCCTCGGTATACGTCTCATTCCTAGTTGCACTGGGTGCGCAGACAATACCAACGAACAACAATTCCATTATCGTAGCCTTGAAAGGTCTTTCTCGTGTGCGCCAGGGACTGACGTTGGGTTAGAACTGTGAAGTGCCTGCCACGCAAGTAATGCCGATATTTGTTACTCCCCTCAAAACCGCTCGTTTTTCGTTAAACGATTTGACTAGCAGGCGATGAACTGCAGCTTTTGCCAATTCGGCTAGTTGAAATAGAAGCACCACAACTGCTGCGTCACCCTTATCGCGTTTTAGGAAAAATCGCTTCTCAAGAGAATGGAGCTTGAGCTGCCAAGCTTTTGGCATTCAGCTGTATGATTCAATATCACACTGTTTCCAGACACAGCATTCAAAAACTTCTGCACACATTGGCGAGTCCCGCTGCTCATTCTTGGATGAGCGCACTGGTCTGTATCGTAGATTTACGCAACGGTTATAAACAGAAACTAGTTATAGACGGCTGCGTGTGTTTGTGGACTACAAGCTGCAGTAAAAAACCTCTATTCAATACAATTCGGAGCATCACAAAGCACCTCAGGGTCTAAAGGCACACTAGGCTCAAGCTGCCGCGAAGCATGTAACATGCCTATGGAAACCCCCTTGGGCTGCAGCTGCAACTGAAATAACCTACACGCACGGTAGTGAGCTAAAGAGCCTGATAGACCTCGAGAAGTCAGCAACTGTCCTGGACGAGCGGAGAATTTTATCGTGTATGTTTACGACTACTGACTGCCAAATCGGAAGCGGATGTGATCAAAAACGACTCTTTAGGCGTTTTCGAGCTCATCCGCTGGTAAATACCCAACTGGATTTGAAAGCATAAGCAATGGGGGGACAGGCTTGGTTTGGCCTCCAGAAAGTGCCGGATGACTCAGAGCGGCCCACCTCGATTTAGAATAAATTGGGTACTCTAGTCACTGCTGAAGTAATATATATGCTAAAACAGCACGAAAACCTCACAGGTATAGTGAGACTGTGCAGGACCAGGGTGCAGTCTACTGTCGCTGCTGAGCTGCGTTTAGCCCAAATGTCCTGAAATGGTGCACCAGCATTGTGTATTACCTCAGTAAAGTCCCGTCATCCTGCAGTGCATTCACGGGTCTAGAGGAACACGTATGTTTTCTATCTGGGGCAAACGGCTCCTAACGCGATCAGTATGGACTGCTTGGAAGACACCCTACATTTGTTCCTACTTGAGTGCAGAGACCAGGACACTACTCAGGGATCTGCTAAGCAAGCATGTATTCTTAGGCCATAAAACTACCTTAAGGTTAGTGATTTCTTATGCCAGATCCCTCTCTAAAGGAGTCGAACGAAAAGCACAGGTAGGCCCTAGGGCGCACCAAGAACCCGCCTTTTGTGTGGCTGCTGCAGCTACTGCAGCCGCTATTGCTGCTCCTATTGCTGCACTCGTTGCAACTGCAGCTGCTGCAGACTGCAGACTGTATTCAGAGTATTATCCCACATGGTGTTGGGCGTTGGCATTGTGGTGCATGGCATCTAGGTCTATTTCAAAGCAAGAGGTGATCGCCGTGCGTAGTTTCGTCTTCAAGACAGCAAAGGAGGAATATTTCGGAAGTTTCATCATGAAAAAGCATGTACTCGCTGAAGGAAGACGATCGTCCACGCGCTGGCCAGAAACCTGCCGAGGGCCCGAGAAAGATGTGTCTACCGCCTCCAGCGCTTCTTCGTCTCTGCGAAAAATAAGAGTAAAAGCCACAGTCAGCACCCACAAGCACACATGTCTCAAGGTGATGTGTTACACTTTACATCAATGGGATTGCTTCTGAGAGCCTAATGTACGTGCTTGTATCTCATCTAACCAGGCCTAGCTCTGCTGTGGAGACCGGAACACTGTTCTTTCGGAGGTGAATGGAAAAACAGTGATCACCGAATCGAATGCGCGAATCTCATTAAGTGCTGAAATTTGAACTGTCTGCAGTGGTTCATATTGGCCGTTTCCCTTCTCTGTGTTAGGATGCACCTCATGATGTGAAGCTCGAACATCCGGGTTGGGGTTACAAACGTGCCTGCACCGGCACTGTGGCCCAAAGTCCAGCCCTGGGGCACCCTAGACCGCCCCGAAACAAACCGCAGGAAGAGACGCCGTTCAGCAGCACTGAAGCTCCGCAGCGCCTCCCACAGCCAACCCACCAGCTCGCGCTCCCGATCGTTGCAGCGGTCCCAAACCACCTTGCAGTTTCGCTGTACATACACCATGCACAAGCAGAAAACATCTCCAATCATGAAGCAATCTACTCCAAACTAAAATCTCAGGCAAGACCCCGTCCTCAGCCCCATGCATAAAATGCTGCAGCAGCACTGTTCCAACATATAAGCGTTCCTCTAGGCCGCTGCAGTTGCAACATCCGAAACGTGAACTCGTACCCTTCTTCCCTGACAGCAAATCATAGAATGCAGCAGCACCGTGAAAAATGCAAAAGCGCGCACAGCAAGCAACGAATTACCTTCAGCAATTCCACCTCGATGTCCGGGTCACCGCAGACCAGCAGCCGGAGATCGTCCGGGCGAAGCAACGCTCTGAGACAAGGGCGCGGTAGTAGCTGGTGGAGGCCCCATGACAGGAGGGAGACAGCCTCAAAGCCCTCCGAGAGCTAAGAACACAAGCAAGACAAGCTACAAATTAAGGGACTAAGAAGCACGCACAACTCACCGCACGTACTGATGGGAATAACACTAGCTTGACCCGTTGCCGCTGTGATGCAACAAGCACTTGTGATACCACAAAAGGCAAAAGAATCAGTGGTAGTCCATTAACAAGCAACAAGCATCCTCCCGTACCTTAGCATATTGCTCAATCTCTAGGATGGCGGGGAGGTCTTGAGGACGCAGACGCATATGCTCCCACGAGGGGGCGAGAGGCAACGGTCTGCCCACAGAGTCGTCAATACAGGCGCCGCGCTGCAACAGAACCTGTACAGCAGCAGCAGCTTCTTCTCGTGCTTCCTCTTCGTCCTCTCCCGATGCAGCAGCTGCCTTCGCTGCTGCCTCCGCAGCGGCAGCTGCTGCTGCAGAGACTACTTCCCGAGGATCGTTGCCTGGACTTGAGAAAGGCGCTTTGTCTACCGCATCCGCTGCAGCGGCGGCTGCAGCAATGGGCGCCAGCAGCCTTCGGAGGTGTTTCGCTGCGAGCAAGTCCTGCTGCAGAAGGAGGTCCGAAGACGGATGGTACCCAAGCAGCAGCGTCCAAATGGCGGGAGTGAGAGACAAATTCAGCGGGCTCATTGAAGTAATCGCACAACCCATCAGTACGCCTACAGCCTGCAACGCGCGGGCCACGTTCTGTCCATACACTGTAAGGCCTGTTAAGCCCCAGAAGCGCAGGAGAGAACTCTCCTCGTCATCCTCGTCTCCTTCCAGCAACGAACCAACAAGCATCCCGTAGTTTATCTGTTGCTGCTGCACGTGGTTCAACAGCAGCTCGAGCGATCCTGTAGCTGTTGCAGGCGTTGCACCAGCTGTTGTGGGACTTAGCTGTGGAGGCGCAACGAGCAATGGCGGAGCGTCGGCATGGAGAGAAGGGAGGGGAGGGGGAGAACTGTTCAACCAAGCTGGCCCCAATGCCCCCAGAGTTGCCTCATCCTCCCAGAAGGCTGCACGGGCTTGCTGTTGCCCCCTTGGTGAAGCAGCAGCGGTGCTCGCCGTTGCTGCAGGCACCAGCAGGTCCCGCAGCATGGGATTTGCAGCAGTGAAGTCCCTTCCCTCTCCCACCCCTGCTCTGGCGTTGCTGGATGGGATGAAGAGCCGGTTGCCTATGAGGTCATCGCACAAGGCGCTCAGCACCTCGGCGTACGGCCCCCCTAGGTCCTGCGCGCCCTCGCCTCGCAGTTCCACCGAAAAGCAACGCTCCATAGCCAGCAGCGATGCAGGGGGGATCCGCAGGAGCTGTTGCGACAGCTGATTCACCAGAGAAGACGCAAAGTCCGCATCAGGCAACAGCGACACATCCCCATCGACACTGGTGTCGCCGTCCACAGCAGCTGCCGCAGCACTTGCTGCTGCTGCTGCTGCTGCACCACCAGGCAAACTTCGTCCGAGAGATAGGCTTCCAGTGCCGACACGAGGACAGGGGTTTGTTTGGTCTTCTGGCGCAGGGGCCTCCGGGTAAATGCCTCGGACGGCGAGAAGGGCAGCAAGAGACCCCCAGTGGCGCTGCAGCAGAACATTCCTGGGGGCTGCAACCGAACCCCAGGCAAGCTGCTCCGCAACTGAAGGCGGGGTACAGAGTCTCTCCTCTGCACTGAAGGCGTCACCACCTCGCTGCCTCTCCATTAGCCGCGACTGAAACAGGAATGAGGCGCTGAAGGCTGAGGCCCGTCGAGACGGTAGCACCAAATCGCGCATGCGACTGACCAACCCCTCTATCACCGATACAGGCGGACCCAGAAAGCTGTTGCATCTGCCAGTGGTGGTAATGCTGCCACTTCTGCGGAGCCAGCTTTTCCGGCGACCACCCATGAGGCCCCAGGTACATGCAGAGTCAAAAGGCCGCGACCGATCAGCCACAATTGGACCGAAGACGCAGCGGCTGGGCTTTGCCTGCAAGATGGCGCCTTGGAAAGAAGGGTTTGCATTATCCTCTGCACCTGCTGCGGCCCCCGCTGCAGCGGGGGGTAGCTCCGCTGTGGGAAGCGGGCAGGGGCAACAGAGACGCGAAAGGCGAGGACGACTAAGCAACGGCAAGAAGAAACCGACGCTTACGTCAAGGCAGTGAAGGAGCTCAAGTCGCCACATGAGCGCCCTGTGGAGCTCACGAGGGTGCGGGGGCCACAGTAGCTCAAAGGCAGCAGCCCCAGCTGCGGCGCCTGCAGCTGCTATAGCCCCAGGGTCCCCGCTCTTCTCTGTTGAAGATGAGTCAGCCGCTGACGCTGTTGCTGCAGCAGCTGCTGCTGCTTTCGATGCGCGGTCAGCTGCCTTCAGCGCGCTGCGGAAGAAAACGCCCAAGACCTCGAACGTAACTGCATATGCCAGAGGAGATACATTTCGAGGCATAGGCACCAGTGGCCACCAAGGGAATGAAACAGGAGCGTTGCTACTGCCGCCGCTGGGGATGTGAGCTGCAGCGGTGGGTGCTGCAGATGATACTCGCTCTACAACAGCAGCCGCAACAGCGCCAACCAGGTAAGCCTGCCAGCAGAGATGCAGTGCTTCCGCAAGAGGTTTGCTGTTGGAGTCAGAACGGCGGGAGTTGCCTAAGCCATCCGGGACCCTCTCAGCCATGAACAAGGAGGCCTGCGGGGCCGTTCCTTCCGATGGGACCGATTCCATGGATTCCCCCTCGTCGTCCGTCAAGCCCTCGGGTATCTCCACAGACAGCGCACGCAATAAACTTGCGAAACCCTGAAAACACGCATCCACAACTCAAAGGCCATCTGCTCAGCAAGCACATCAACAAGTTTGTGTTGATGCTCCCGCTGATGCTGTCCTTCGAGTCAGGAAGGCCAGCATCCACAGAGCCCCTAGAAACGCAGCAGGGATCCCCTTCATCACACTAGGGAAGCGTAACATGCATACAATTGTCAGCCCTCAGCAGCAAGTGCTCAGACAACAGCGGGGCACCAGCAGGGAGAACGACATAACGACATCCTGTACATACCGGCTGCACGGGGGCCTGCCCCCTGTCCGCATGCTCTGCAGTAGCTTCCTCCAGGCCTGCCAGGGCGTCGATAAAGAACCAGCCCATGTCTTCTCGCTCTGTACCAGCTGCTGCATCTCTTGCTGCGCCGGCGTCTGGTTGTGAGCTGGTTGTGACGGGGCCCTTTTCGGATTTTCCCCGACGGAAATACGACACACGCATGCGACTCAGGTTCTCTATAACCTGCTGCTGAGAGACAGAGGGCCACCAGGGAGTCCCCCACTCCCATAGATTCATGGGGGGGACAAAGAGGTTCCCGTCGCCGTCTAAGCGCATTCTAAACTGCCAAAAGGCTGGGGTCGGAGCTGATCGGTCTGCAGCAGCTGTTGCTGCAGCCGGAGTCCCCCGTGAAGGGATGGGCGTTAGGGGCACTGATGGGAACTGCTTCGCAGTTAGAGGATGGGCAGAAGAACGAGCAAACGTTCGCGAGATTCGTAGCTCCGCAAGGAAGGCCAAAAGCAGGCCGTCGGGCCAAACTTCGTCCCAAACGAGGGAAAGCGTCGTTGCAGCCACCCAGATGCTGCTGCTTGCGCCTGGTGCCTCGACCGGCGTCATCGCCCATGAATCGCCCAGAGAGGATAGCAGTAAAGTTCCTGCAGAAGACCCACGCCCCCAGAAAAGGTCTACTAGCCGGGAAGGTGCACCATTTCGCCTCCCTCCCGTAGTGACACCAGGCGAAGCTGCTGCTGGTTCATTGGTTTCTCCACAAAACTCTGCTGCCGCGGCTGCTGCCGCGGCTGCCGCTGCTGCAGTAGCGCTGGAACTTCCACGCTGAAGTGCTACGGATTCTGCTTGCTCGGCCGCTGCAGCCTTTGCAGCTGTGGCGGCAATGCAGGACACGCCTCCCAGCTCAGTGTCGATGAGCGCCGGCTGGCACAAGAAAGACGCAGATGGCCTGAGCACTTGCTCCACTGCCAGCTTGTAGCCTGCAAACATGTAGGCAAATTCTCCCCTGGTGCTGCTGCTACTGCTGCCGCATTTGCATCCATCGCTGCCTTTCCCTCCAATAAGCTGCTGACGATCGTCCGCTTCTGTAGATGGTGGGTTCTCGCCCTGCTGTTGTTGCTGTTTCTGCTTCTGCTGCTGGTCCTGTTCTTTGTGACCTTGCTGCGGCGGGAAAAAGGCATCATCTGGGATCCGATTGCATGCAACCCAATTGGCATGGGTCCGGTAAGGAGTCTGCTGCAGCCTGAAACGGAGCGCTGCGCAGTTCGCAGCAAAAAAGCTACGTGCGAACCACAGCTCCGGGTTGAGGGGCTGCGGGTAAGGCTGCACTACTCGCAGTGCCTCCACTTTACACACTGCCGGTCCTGCAGCAGCAATGACACATGCAGCAGAAGCACAAGCAGCACAGCAGACGCAATACGGGCTGAGTGAGACTATCATGGAGCAGTCCGCAAGCGCACACAGCGAGCAGAATTGTTAAGGCGAGGCACAACAGGATTTTAGATACTCACCGAAGCGGATGCCAGGGATCAACGCAAGACCGCCGCCCGCGCCTAATAGCCGCCTCACGTCCCCAAGAGTATAGGTGAATTGGAGCGGCGCCTGCTCCTCCTCGTCACGCATACTAGACTGATCGCCCTGGTGCTGTGGCACCTCTATGATGAAGCGAATTGTGTCCTCGTGTCCCAGTTGCTGCAGCTGTTGCACACGGCGGCGCGAACGCCGCAGCTGCTGCAGCAGCATGTGCATGCGCCGTATGGCAACCGGGTCCTGCGGGTGTGGAGGGTTGGCGGACTTCACGACAGGCGCAACCAGTCCCTTCATCTGCAACAGCAGCAGCATAGGCATCAACGGTCATGTATTAAGTTCTCCACAAGCTATGGAAGGCGCAGTGAAGTGGACAGCATTGACGGAAAATGGCCCAAAAACGTGCAAACAAATTTCCTCACTGAGATGAGGCAGAGTGCGCAGGAGCGAAACTCGCCGTTAGTGGAGGGTGCTGCAACTGCCTCACCTGTTGCTTGACTGCGGCGAAGTCGCTATAAGCCTCCTTGAGACGGATGAGTCGAGCCTGGCTAAGGAAGAATTCAACATGGATAGAGAGAAGAGCTGAGCAGCATTTGACTGTCTCCTTGACAGTTCTTCCGTCTGCTGCTGCGTCCGCGTCTCCAGGTATGTGCGGGCTCTGCTGCTGCATATCCGCCCAGGCCCGCATGAAGAGCATATGCAGGTCGCCGAGAATCGAAGCCTCTCCGTATACATCGCTGTCGTCACGGACACTACGGATACTCCCCACCTGGCCCTGGCCCTCGCACCCGCCGCTAGGGGCAAACCGATGCCAACACAGGCTGCTGCCGCCTCTGCTGCCACTGCTGCTGCTCGGGGGCAGGCTACCGTTTTCCCTGGAAGAAGTCGGTAGTGGGGCATCAGTTGCTGTAGCAACTGCAGCAGCGTCACCAGACGGACGGGAAGAGCGGGTGCTGGGAATCCCTTCCGCACTGTCCACCAGCGACAGCACCGCTCTTGTGGTCTCTACACCGAGTGTTTGAAGCGCCCCAGGCGGCTGCAGTTGCTGCTGCTGCTCTTGCCGGTGGTTCTGCCGCAGTGGTTGCTGCCGCTGCTGCGCCTGCAGGCGCTGGTGCTGCTGGTTGAGGGCCCCAAGAATGTGCATATCGGCAACCTCATTATGGGAAGCATCCTTTTTGCCGATGGGAATGCCTGGGTGTATAGACAGCTTGTGCACCCGCTCTTCTGAAACCCAGGTAGCACAACATGGAGGCATCATATCAGCAGCACTGTATGACTGCAGCAGCAACCGCTCCACACGACCAACATCTTCAACCAGTTGGCTTCCGCCTTCCCCACTGACCTCGTCATCAAGAGCAAAGTGGCCCTCCCGCACAGGAAGCAGCTCGCAGGCTGCTGCCGGCTGCTGACGTTGCTCCGGCTCCTCCTTCACGAGGTCAGTCTTGCAAGAGACGAGGAAGAAGCGGTCATCAGGCAAAGGAATCAGTGGGTAACTCTCCTCCTGCCCCACACGCTTGGGAGACGTAGGAGACGACCCCCGTTCGCTGCTGCTGTTGCTGTTGCAGTTGCTGCTGCTGCTGCCCTTTGAAGGGATCCCATATGCCACCGGCACAAGTCCGATTTCAGGCCCGCATACTGCCTTTGCATTCTGGTTGCTGGTTTTGTTGCTGGCGCCTTTGCGGATATACGTGGCCCCCGCTTCCCTCTGTAGCAGCGGCCGACCCGTCGAAGCATCCAAGGGCCTACCCGAAGCATCTTCTTGCCAACACACTCGAAGGTCTACCGTCCAGCGACCGTTGAGTGCAAACGCTTCTCGAGGCATGAGGGCTCCCGAGAGGAGATGGATTACATCTTCCGCCTTGAGATCTGGGGAGGGCAAGCTGGAGGGGCTGGCTGAGCTGCAGCCGTCGCTGCTGCTGTTCACACTGCTGCCACCTGGTGCAACACGATATGCTGCAGATGGTGCTGCTGGAGCATCGGCTGCTGCTGCTGCTGCTGCTGCCACACAGGACCGGCGACGCGCCTCGCCAACGCTGCCATGACGATCCCGCTGAGGCAGCTGCACGGGGCGGCGCTGCTGAGCCCCATCTTCTGCCGTGCTGCTGCTGCTTGTAGACTTGCTACTGCCACGTAGCATGCGCAGAAGTTGGTTTGTTGCTCTATCCAGAAGACTCATAGGGCTGGTGCCCGACGAAGAGGCTCCACTGCTACTGCTGTTCCTGCTGCTGCCTGCGCTTGCATGCAGCGCGTCGCCCTCCCCAACAGGTGTAACCGGCTGCTGGGACAGCAACAACGGTTGCTGCATTCGGTTTTGTTGCTCGTTAACAGTTAACCTGCGAAGGACTGAACCTGGGACTATGGGGAAGCCCTTACAGCAACCTGCAGAACAGGGCACAACCTGCTGCTGCTGCTGCAGTTTCCCAAGAGCCTGTTTACCGCCATTTGTTGTCGACGCAGGAGGATCTTCAGTAGGCGACCCTGCTGCTACACCTGGGCCTGCAGGGCAGTGTCCTAGCGCGAAATGCTTGGCCACCGCGGTGTCTCTACAGCTAGGGGAATAATCCGCACCGTACCACGTGGGGGCGCTCCAGGCGCTGCTGACCTCCAGTGCCGGCACCCAGCTATCTTCCCCACCGCACAAGTCCCTGATGTCTTTCTCTATTTGTGCTGCTAAGGCCCTGCGAGCTTCCGCTGCAGCTTGTTGGGGTCCCATAACTGCTGCTGCAGGCGCCGCTGCTGCTGTGGCAGTTTGTGAAGCGGGTCTGGCAACATGCAGCGGAGGAGCAGTGCAGTACGAAGCAGAAGAGGCACTGGTAGCCGTCGCATCCAGGGTTTCGAGAGCATTCTGGGCAGCAAGAACTCGGCGCAGCAGGTGCCGCCTCGTGTCTGTGAGGGGCAGCGCCTCCACCGACAGCAAATGCCAGGGACACAGATCGCTGTTTGGTGAACGAAAGGTGACAGAGACGCCCGCGGCGTCAGGGTGAACTAGCAGTAGCCTATCCATCAAGTCTACCTGGCCGGCCTCCTGTCCAATGGGTAACCCACCTTGCTGCAGTTGCTGCTTCTTCATGTAGGTTGTTTCAGGGGCGTCCGTTGTGTCTGCTGCAGCAACCATTCGTGCATAGGGATGCGAACTCCGCACAAAAAGCTGCCCCACACTGCGGATCAGTTCCAGAGGATGGCCATGAGGCAGGCGGTTGGGTACCACTAGGCATTCCGGTTCAGTCTTACTTGCTCTGGTGCTGTTCATGCTATCCCTGGAGACTCCCCGCTGAGGTGTTTGCCTCCCATCCTCTACCAGAGGAGAAGAAGGCTTTGATGCCGCCGTAGTGCCTTGCTGCGGAAACTGCTGGACAGCATCACGCTGTTGCTGTTCGTGTTGCTGCTGCTGCCGCTGTACTCGGCTACTGCTGAAGCAACACTGAGAGAATGCCATGGCCTTTCGCTGCAAGCGCCGCGAATCTCTCCCTAGAAGCAGAAGCATGCGGTGGAGGGGAACTCTGGCTAAAGGCCACGTGCTGCACCCTCCACAGTGGTTCAGTGCTGCTGTTGCTGCTGTAGAGTTCTTCATAGCCGCTGTTGTCTGAATCTGCTGCGGCCCTCCCAGCGCGTACAGCCGCACCAGCAACTCGGATAAAAACGGTGCCAATCGCTCCACTGGGTACTCCTGTATTGCGAGTCTCGTATCATGCCCGGGGCGGGGTGTTAGTCTCCACCGGACCTCCCAGAGTTGCGCCAGGGCTCCTGTTATCTCTTCGCGGACGGCACAGAACTCCGTATCTGCCTGGAATGCTGCTGCTTCCACTTCTGTTGTTGTAGATGCTTCTGCCGTCAGTTGCTGCATTGCGTTCTCACCCAAGGCGGCAAACATCAACACTGCGACTGTCTGCGCAGCAAACAGGAGGGGTGCCGGGAGCCACTTGAAGAGCATGCCCCGTAACAGAGTCTCCTCCCAGAAGGGGCCTACTGATAGGCCCAGCAGATCCCCTTCTATGCTCTCCACTATCATACACATATCAGTCATACTAATCAGGTCCGCCATATGCCACAGACACAGACAAGCCACTCGCCGCCGCAACTGTGCCTCATCAGCAGACGCCAATGGCCGCGGGGGGACACAAACGGACCCTCTATCAGCGGCTGCAGCTGCTGCAGGTTCACCTCCTGAACTGCTACAGCCACCGACGTCCACGGAGTTGGCCCCCTCAGCGCTTAGCCACGGCGCGTTCTGAACATTCCACAGCATGCGCAGCAACAGCAACACCATTCGGTGCGGCAGGAACAGCAAGAAGGAAAGCAGCGAGAACACAAAACCCGGCAGCAGCAACAACAACAGTGGCAACAACAGCAGCAATATACCTCGACAAAACTCCTAGCAACAGCAAGAGCAGAAGCCTGAAGCGGTAACGGCGACACAGCGGCCATCGCATCTGCAGCCCCCACAAGCCCGAGGAATAGCGCTGGGTCAAATGCAGCCGCAGGCACAAGAGCAAGACTGCTGCAGGCCTCTCCTGCCGCCGCTGCTGCAGCAGCTTCCGTCCCAAGAGCTGCAGCAACTTGCGGATTCTTGCTTGCAGCACTCAGGACTTCAGGGTGCTGTGAAAAGTCCGAAACCAGCCACTGGAGCAACGCTACACTCAAGACGGGGGAAAACGAATGAGTCAAAGCATCGTAGACACCCTGCTCCTGCGCTGCTGCGGCAGCAGCTGTTGCTGCCTTGGGGTCGTGTAGTAGAGGGTCGAGTGCACCAGGGCTGCAGCAATGGGAAGGTCCTATGGCAGCGTATGCGTTGAACAGCTCTTGGCGATTGGCCGCAGAGACACAAAATTTCCATCCCCAGAGACTGGGGGCTGCGATATCTGCGCGGCTTGTGGTTGTGGTGGAGCTGCTTGCATTGTCAGCTGCCTTGCTGCCGTTGCTGCTTCTCCCGCTGCTGCTGCCGGTGGCACTGTGGAATAATTTAAGGCCCATGCTAGCTTGGTCACAAGCGTGCTGCAGCCGCATATACTCATCGGCAATAAGCGCAGCCTGCCGTGCTGCCGCTTCTGCACCGCCCTCCTCCCCCCAGTGGGGGAGTGCCGCCGTAGCAGTACCTGCAGCTGGATCCGCGTCTCCTGTTGTTGCAGCTCCTGCTCCTGCTTCTGGAGATACTGCAGCCATCGCCGCAGCCTGGGGGGACCAGCTGTCTGCAGGCAGCAGAGGGGATGTCAATTCTGGAGACAGCCACATCCCAGGGCCGTCGCTGGGGGCCGCGGGATCCGGCAGTGGTGCGGCGCTGCAGCAGAGTCCGAAGGAAGCAAAGGAGCAGTCGAAGCCGAAGCCAGGAAGCACCAAAGGCCTTCCCCACACCCGAAGAGAACTCCCGCTGCGAGGGTATACACACGGCACAACACATGACGTGCGAACTGCAGCACAATAAGCAACAAATGCAACTCCAGCTGGAGATGCTCCTATTGCTGCTGCCACACACACAACAGCAGATATATATGGACAAGCCAAACCCGCCGGAAGCCCAACTGCAGCTTGGGGACATTTCCTCGACAAAACCATTTCAGGTGTATACATAGAAACGGCCCAAACTGAAGAAACAGCAACAGAAATGAAAGTTACCTGTATGCAGCAACACACGCTTCCTCCCCCTGAGAATAAAACCTCAGAGCGTCACCAAGGCGAGTGCCGCTGAGACGGCAGAAGCGGAGGACGCAACCGCGGGCCCATGAAAAGTCAGGAGACAACTCCCCCCCACATAAAGGGGAAACGCCCAGGCAGAAGGCACCATCCTTGCTGTCTATGCTGTTGTGGCCGCTAAGATCGCTGCAGTTGGTTTCCTCCAAACGAAGGGCATCTGAGCCTGGGTGGATCTCATTGTGCTGCTGCTCTTGTGCATGCTGTTGCTGCTTTTGCTGCTGCTCGCCTGCCGCAGTTGCCCAACTGTGCGGGACACAGGCCTCTGCGCTGGCGCTGAAGGATGCAACAGGGCTGTATGGGTGAGATGTCTCCTGCCCCATCTCGTACAACAGCATCGATGGGTTCAAGAAGCCTTGGCGCGAAAGCCGCACGGGATCGACTCCCACAAGCGGTGGGGTGGAGGCAGCGCTGCGCCGCAGCACCTGACCAGTGGACCGCCCGTTGATGGTCTGACGGAGGACCAGCGGCCGCGGGGGGGAAGGGAGAGGCGGGTGAAGCAGTTCCGACGCCACCTGCCGCAGCACGCTTCGTGCCGCTTCAGGTGCTGTCATCTGCGCTGTGTCTTCCTCGACCTCGTCTTTCGGCGCTGCGTCTGACTCTGCTTCTGCTGCTTCTCCTGTTTCTGTCCCCTCTTTTCGCTCCTGAGCCTCCACAAGCGCCCTGAAGGCGCCGAACTCCGAATTGAAGTGAAGCTCCAGAAGCCCGACAGACATCAGCCCCACCAGGCACAGGCTCCTCAGCTGTATGAGGAGCTCGGCGCCCAAACGGACGTTCGGCAACGAACGGGGCACCACAGCCCAGAATCGGGCCTGCTGTTGCAGCAGGACTTGCTGCTTCTGCTGCTGAGGTTCTTGTTCTGCTGCGTCTGCAGCGCGCAACACCCGCACCAGGAGCTCCGCCACAACTGGTCGAAGAGACGGCCGTGCCCTAAGGAGGTCGGCCAACGTGCGTAAAAGCTGCGGCCACAGAGCTAGCGCAGCTTTGGGTTGCTGCAATAGCAGTTGTAGCAGCAGGTTCTGAGCCTGGGTTGCTGCCTCCCATTGAAAGCAACGAACCGCTGCAGTAAGGCCCTGCCGCTGTTGGGTATCGACCGGCAGCTGCACCTGCAGCACCGGCTGCTGCTGCAGGGCTGTCCTTGTGGCTTCGGTGCACAGTCGAAGGACTTGCTGCTCTTGCTGATGCTGCTCGTCAGCTGCTGCTGCTGCTGCTGCTGAAGCAGGAGCAGTACACGAAGCGTGGGGAGGAGGCATAGAGGAGACACAATCGTCAGGGTCTGCGAACAGGAACCTGTGGAGTTGTTGCAGCGTGGGCGGCAGGAGCAGCTCTAGGTGTCTGTTGAGATGTGAAGAGAAGTAGACTGCCATGTCCTTGCGGCCTGCAGCAGCGCCTCCTACTGCCACAAAACGCGGAGGGTTTGTTGCTGCAACAGGAGTGCTCAGCCGCCAATACAGCACCTGTCCGTTCACGTAGATTGTCCCCTTGAAGCGCAGCGCGCTCGCACCGGAGCCAGCCACCCGGTGTATGTCCACGTACCATCTGCCATCGTCCCCACAGATGCTGCTGCTGCCGCCATCAGATTTAGAAGAAGCGTGTACTGCAACGGCAGGTCCCCTGGCCGGGGACGGCGATCGCCTGGCGGGTTCGGTCTTGGCACTTCCGCTCCAGTGTCCTTTCACATAGCTGCTGATTAGAAGACTGTCCGAAGAAGCAAACAGCTGCCCGTCGACGCCGGATCCAGCCGAGCTGCTGCTACTGCTACTTTTGCTGTTGGATGAATCTTGGTATCTGGCCTGGATGACAAGAGGCCATACGTTTTCATCGGACATGAGGATGAGCGTCAAGAACTTGGCGTTGGGGCTACGAAAGCCCTCCACGCGCAGTGTCTCGGCATCTTTGTGATACAGGGGGAAGAGGCCCGTGCAGTCGAGCCGCGCCAAATGCTGACGAGTTAGCGCGGGCAACGAAGCAGGAGCTTCTATAGCCTGGATAACTGCGGGGTTCCCCTTGGGGGGTTGAGGAGAAACCAGGCTGCTCGGCAGACACAGCAGCACGCCAGCAGCAGCAGCACCTTCAGCACCTCCGTGCAACCGATTCGTCACCCACGCCTCCACCCGCTCATCTGGAGGAGGCAGAGGCCGCAACGCATCTGCACGCAGGGCTCCCCACAGACCTGTTGGCCCTTCACTGCTGCTGTTGGTGCTGCTGCTGCTGGTGCGGCTGCCGTTCGTACTGCTGCTACTAGGTACGGGGCTGGCGCTCAGGCTGGCATTCGGTGGATCCGCATCGGCGCCAGAGGCATCCCGACCACCAGAACCTGCTGAAACAGCAGCAGCAGCAACAGGTTGCTGCCAAACGAAGATGCCCTTGTGTACGCTTGGTGGGTCTTCGGGCAGCAGCAGCGTGCGGCTGCCGTCGACGCGCCAGACGGACTTTCTTCTGTTCAACACCGCTTTGTACATATGGCAGAGCTTACAGTAGTCGAAGTCATCAATTCTGAAGATAGAGGAGAAGGACACGTACGCACCAGTTCCGTAAGAAGAGATACACCGTTGCCACCCGCAAGAAGCCACGGCAGCAGCAGCATAGATCATCACTAAACAGGGAAGAACAGCAACAGAAAGTGTAGGGCAAAAAATGAATGACGCCCGAGGGGCTTAAGGCGGATAAAGAAACTCAGAGACAAACGGAGAGATGCGGATGGCAACAGAGCACCCATAACCCTCCCAACACGTCCTCGTAATATGCGAAGGAAGAAAGCAGCAGCAACAGCAGCAGCAACATTTGCTGCTGTTTGGATGCTTACTTGCAGCGGTGTCTCTGTGCACCTGTCCAGGAGCGAAATTCCATGAGGCCTGCTGCACATCTGCCTTCAGGGTTCAAACCGTCACAACGCCATTTCCCTTCAACCTCCGGAGGGCGAACACTACAGAGGCGCCCGCCACAGCGGGGACATCTCACCACGAGTTGCCCCGCGGGTCCCCCGAAAGGTGCCAAACTAAAGGCATCGTCTCCATACAAGCACTCATCTACACACGACAAAGAGTAAGGCACGCGACCACCAGCAACAGCATCTGCACCAGCGCTCGAGGAAGCGGCACTTGCAGCTGTTGCTGCAGCACCCACTGCTGCTCCCGGTGGACCAACTCGAGTGCCTCCTGCTGTGCCGCCAGCGTGACCCGCAGATGGCCAACCAGTGGCCCGCCGAGACCCCAAGGAAGAAACGCTAAGCCCGGCGCAACGGCAGCACAGCCCCAAAGAGCCCAAACCAGAAGAACCCCCAGAAGCGTCTCCTCCTTCAAGGTTGTAACACGATAGCAGCAAGCGGCAAAGCCGTGCCTTTGCTGCCAGACGCAAATGGGCACTGCGCACAGAAGGATAGCCTCCTGTGTGTCTCCGCTTCAAACGAGAATGCTGCTGAGTCTGCTGCAGCTGCTGCCAGCGGGATGGCGGCAAAAGCACGCACTCACTGTCACTTAAAGCCCTCCTCAAGGGCTCCTGCCCACTTCCAGCGGCAGCCGCAGCAGCAGCCACGGCATCCACTGCTGCTGAAGTGCTGCCGACGGAAGTCGAGAGGCCGCGTGACAACGCGCGCAGCCTACGGGAAGGCCCATCGCCGTTGCTGCCGATGCAGCTTCTGAAGCTGCTGCTGCAGCTGCTGCTCTCGCTGCTACGCCTGCCCAGCTTCGAATCCACGGTGAGCCGGTGTGGCTGTTGCTGCAACAGCTGCTGCTGCTCGTTTGTAGCTGGCGTAGCTGCCTCCGCAGCCGGCAGAAGCCCAAACGGGAAAGCTGCAAGGGACGCTGCAGCTGCAGGAAGTGGCCGTACACTAGCAGGAGAGCCCCTGGGCCTCGTGAGGATTGAAGGTCTCCATAAAGGGGAGCCGCACAGCACGCAGCAACCGCCATTACAGTTGCTGCTGCTGCTGCTGCTGCTGCTGCTACTGCTGCTGCTGCCGGTTCGCGATGGTGGTACTCTGTCTCCCCAACGGCCCATGGGCCCCTCCCAGTCAGACACAGTCTCACCTGCGCTGTGTATGTCCTCAAACGTCAAGCTTGGCTCAGCTGCGCGCAACCGCCGCCGCACTAAAGCAGCCTCCCACAAGCTTCCAGTGTTCCCTCCTGCATCTGCTCCCGCTGCTGCTGCTGCTGCTGCTGAATCTCCGCCCTCACCCCAGCCTCCCCGAGGACGGCGACCGGCATACCTTGTTCGGCTGCTGCTTACGTAGCTGTCGCTGCTGCTGCTGCTGCTGCTACGGCTGCTGCTGCTCGGCGTGCGGGGCCTGCGGAGCGTGCGGCGGACACCGACGACGCGCAGTACCCTTGTCGAGCCGGTTTGTGCCGCAGTTTCTGTGGTAGCGCCAGTAGCAGCAGCAGAAGCAGCAGAAAGGAGCTGCTGCAAGAACGATCGGGCTTCGGCCTCCCCAGACTCCCCATCGTCCTCTGTCCATTCTGCTGCATCCTCCGACTCTGCTGTCGGCTGCTGCCTTTGCTGCTGCCTCGCAGCACTGCCGTTACCGCCGTTGCGTCCGCTTCTGTTGCTCGTGGTGCTGTTGCTACTGCTACTATTGCTGTTGGTGTTGCTGCTGCTGTTGCTGTAGCTGCTGTTGCTGCTGTTGCTGTTACCGTTGCTACTGTCGTCGAGCATCCCACGGAAGAACCGCAGGAGCGTCACTGCATCTTCGCTTTCCAGTTGAATTGTCCCGTCAGCCCATGCCTCCTCTTCTAGTGGCAGCACAAGCTGCAGGTCTCCTTCTCTGAGAGACCCGTTTGTTTCTGAGTCACTCTCTCTCTCCTGTTCACCTCCTTCCCCAGAGCTCGACGCGGCAGCAGGCCGCCGCGAAGCAGCAGCTGCTGCAGCTGACGGCCGCCGTCGCATCACTGCAATCACCACCCGCTGCTGCTGCTGCTGCTGTTGTTGCCGATCAGACATTTCCCCATCCGAGCCTCTATCGGTCCAGCTCTCGAGCGAGTCCGCGTCGACGTCACCCCTTCTCCACTCCTGGCGCAGCAACAGCTGCTGCTGCTGCTGGTGGTGCTGCTGCTGCCGCCCCTCTGAATCCGTCTCCCCTTCGCTGCTTCCCTCCCACACGGAATAGGTCGGGACGAGTGAGCGCCGCACGCGCCCTGCAGAGTCCAGGCGTTGAACACATACATCAACGGGCCCAGTAGGAAAATTAGGTGCTCTTGTCCTGCTACCGGATGTTGCTGCTGCGTGCGTTTTAGAACGTCTCTTCGGGCCTTTCGTGCACGCGCCGCAACAGCGGGTAAGCAAGAACTGCTGCTCCAGCTGCCCCGTGCTCACGTGACCCTTGTAAGGCGGCGGCTGACGCGTGACGGAAAAGGTAGAGGCATGTGCAGACTCCGTTGCAGCAGCAGCACCTGCAGTAGCCGCCAGGTCGTCAGCGAAGGCTTCGCAGTCTACTGCTCTCTGGCCTGACTGCAACACCCAGGCATACTCGACGGGGCACGTGTCTCCTGCTGCTTCCGCTGCAGTTGCTACGTCACTTGCGGAAACAGTCCTGTCTCCGCCTTTTTCAGCCGAATCTATAATCCAAGAAACATCACGCCGGGTCAGGCCTACACGTGCAGTCTGCCGCAGCAAACTCTTCAGCACCTTCTGACGAGCTGCCGCTCCTGTCGGTCCCTTCTGCAGGTGCAGCAAAAGTCCTGGCAGCAATCCCGCCACCCGACACACTGCACTCCATGGCACCGCGCCTTCTGGGCACTGTTGCCAGCTGTTGGCCGCTGCAGCAGTAGCTGTAAAGGCTGCTGCAGCAGCAGCATGCGGAGCAGCAGCGCTGTAGATACACTTCAGCAGCTGCAACGAATTCTCATCACGCGCCGGCAGACACACAAAGCCCCACTGTTGAAGCATGCGGAGAAGCAGAGACACCCGAACCAATGCCCGAGGCCTCCGTCTAGGCTTAGCAGTAGTTGGACCTTCTGCACTCTCCCTGGACGCTGCTTTCGTTGCTGTCGTTGTCGCTGCTGTTGCTGCTGCAGATGCTCCCGCTAGTGTTGCCTCAAGAGGAGGGCATCGCTCCTTCGCTGCTGCTTCAGGATGCAGAGCTGCTCTTGCTGCTGCGGAAAGCAGCCGCATTAGTGTGAAAGAAACGTCAGCCTTGATGCCCTGTAGCTGTGCTGTGTCGCTATGCTGCCGAGACACCGAAGAGTCTCCATCGCAGCATGGCCGCAGCTGCAGGCTGTTGTCGGCAAATGGCTTCCGCTTCGTGCTGCTGTCCCGCTCATCGCCACCTGCAGCAGCCGCGGCAAGAGCCGCGGGGTTTGGAGCAGCCCGAAGCAGCGGCAGCGCGCAAGCTGCCATAGGAGACACCTCCTGCAGCATCAAGGAAACAAATCGGTAGGCCGAGCCTTCTTCTGCAGTAAGGGCAAGGCACATCCTGCCCTCGCTGTCAGTCTTGTGCAGCGCTGGGCAAATCGGTTGATGTTCCTGTTCCTGCGGCTTTTGCTGCAGCTGTTGGCGCTGCTGCTGCACCACTTCAGCAGCTGCAGAGACAGCACCTACAACGTGGATCAGGTCGCCTAACAGGCTGAGGCGAAGGGCTCTTGCCTCGCTGCTGGCAGCGTGCTGCGGTGTATCTGCTGCCCGCAGAGAGGTGTCTCCTCTCTCCCTACAGACGCGCACAAGGTCCTCCAGCAACTGCAGCAGAAACGCTGTCAGGGCTGCAGCAGCAACGGGCGGTAGCAGCTCCAATAGACGACAGCAAAACACATCCTCTTCCGCATCCGCCAGGATCTGCGGGCGCATCCGTTGCTGCATCCAGCTACCGCTGCTGCTGTCGCCGCTGCTGCTGCTACCGGTGCTACACTTTGCTGTTGTTGAAAGGGCAGTAGTGGGACCGGCTGCATCCTTCCTAGGCTGCACCACCTGTGGTTGCTCTTGCTGCTGCTGCTGCCGTTGCAGTTGCTGCTGTGAAGCATCCTCTGAGGCTACCGCAGGTGATAAGAGGGATTGCCAAAGGCGGCACAAGCTCTCATCGGGATCGAACAACTCCCACGCATCTGCCCAATAGTGCAGCAACACCGTCGGTGTAGCCCACGAGGAGAGCCCTTTCACTTTGCTGCTGTCCGCGGTCTTCGGCTGCTGCTGCTGCGCCTGCTGCGCCTGCTGCTGTTCCTGCAGCGGGGATGTGGTGGATGGAGAAGCTAGACCGGTTAACTCATGCAGCAACGCACGAGGCGATTGAGCCGTACTGCCAGTCTTAAGTGATAACACCCGCAGCACTGCCTGAGCCCGAGACACTGCTGCTCTCAGTCGCTGCAGGGTGTCTTCATCTGTCTCCCAATGCAAGAAGTGGTACACTTTGGTAGCACCAACAGCAGTTGCTGCTGCTGCATCTCCTTTCCCTGCTGCTGCTGCCCGTGCTTCTGCTTCCTTTGCTGATATCAACTCGCAAACCGGCAGAGGCTGCACGCGGAAACCAGCGGATGCTGCAGCAACCGACTGGACTGCATGCTGCAGCTGCTGCAGCAGACCCGCGAGAAATTCGCCTCCCGCTGCTCGCAGCTGCGAAAGAGCGTCTGCTGAGACGTCGTTGTGTTGCCCCTGCAGCTGCTGCTGCAGCTTCTCGCCTACTTTTGCTCCCCTCCGCAGGTCCTGCAGAACAAGTGCCCGTTGCAGCTTTGCACTCTGCGACTGCAACTCCCACTGGCCAAAGAGACCAGCCCACTGCCATTGTAGCAAGTGTTGCAGGTCCGTCCGCGACTGCTGCTGCTGGTGCTGTTTCTGCTGCTGCTGCTGCTGCTGTAGCTGCTGTCGTTGCTGCAGCTGTTGCATCTGCCGACGTGCAGTGGCCAGGTTGCATGGGTCTCTGATGGGCAACTGCTGCAGCGGCACACGAATAAAAGAAGATGACGACCCCACGTCGCCCCCCGATGTTGTCGTGAGGAGTTCTTTAAGGGAGTGCCGCCTGCGAAGACCTTTGGCGATTTGCTCAGATTTGCGGTGTACAGACACCGAAAAGCCACTCGCGAACGGCTCTAACGTAACCACACACAGGTGCAAAGAACGCATGGGATCTAAAGGAGGAAAGTATTGCTCGGGGGTTCCCCCTGCCACTCCGGATGCTGCTGGTGCTCCTGTTGCTGTTGTTGTTGCTGCTGCTGTGCGGGGGGCGGCTCGGTGGATGACGGCGTGTGGCAGCAACAGACGTGCAGGCCTGAGGGCTTTGTCGAGGGTACGAAGCTTCACTGTACCCTTCTTAGGTACCGGGAGTGCGACAATATCTATTGCAGCAGGAAATGCATCGGGGACGGCAGATGCATTCAATGCTTTGGGGCTGGTTTGCAAGGCAGCCCGCCCGAACACGGAGGTTAGGTGCTGCTGCAGAGAGCTATCATTACACTGCATCAAGTAACGCACATACGCATGCAGTCCTGCTGCTAGTACAACACGAAGCGGCAGCAACGGCAACAAACGTACCGCCCACAGCAGCAGCAGCAGCAGCAGGGCTACCAACAGTAACAGGAGCAGCACTAGCACCAGCAGTAACAGCAGCAAAGGACTGGCATCATCAGGGACCAACAAAAGGAACACTTGCCTTCAGATTCTTCTGCAGCCGCGAGCCATTCTTGCCCCTTGGGGCAAAGGCCTCAAAACGCAGCAACTGCGGCTCCTTGTGCGACGAAGGCCGCTGCTGCCCTCGGCACAGACGCCTCACCTGCAGGCACCCAAGCAGCTACACCCCGGTCGTTTCTTCAGAAGATGCAGCAGCACCAGCAGCAACAGCAACGAATGCATGCATAGAACGCAGGCGCAGCCACATCAGCAACTCCAACATCCACAACGCCCAAGACACCCGTAGCAGCAGCAGAAGCAACAGCAGCAGCACTAGGTAGGGAGGGTTGGCTGACATCATATCCAGTGAGAGCCACGACTTCGGCCTCTGCTGTGGGCAAAGAAATTTCTAGGCGCCACCAACTGGGGCTGTCCAGGTCCAAGGGAAAGACACAACGCAGCAGCACATAACGCAGCGAGACACTGCTCCCCCAAGGACGAAGCAAACTTAGAGAGCAACTAGCTGCTGCTGCTGCTGCTGCTTCTCCAACTCCAGTTGCTTCTGCTCCTGCTTCTGGCCGGCCTCGTGCGGCTTCCATCGCAACGACGGAGGCTTTCAAGCGATCGCTATCCTGCAGCTGTTGCTGCGTGTCTGCAGCAGCTGCTGCTGCCGGAGCTCCTGTGCAGCCTTCCCCTTCGCGTACTCCCAAGCCAGTGAGTGACGCCATGTGCCAAGAAGGAGGGTTCGGCAGCAACGGTGCTGCAGCAGCAGCAATATCGAGGGTGTTTGCTGCAGCGGAATGGCCGCAGCGTCTGCAGGGGCTGCTAGCAGCAACAACAGCTGCGTGTACAAGACGCAACGACAGGCGACCGAGGAGAGGGCGACCGCAGCAAGCCGTCGCCACCAGACGTTGCAGCAGCTCTTCGTGCTTCTGCTGCAGTAGCCATAGCCCGATGAGTCGCCTCTGCGCGTGTTGTACCAGCCACCGCAACAGCTGCTGCAGCAGACACACCCCAACTGTCTCTGCCACCAGGCACAAGGAAGGTCTTCGCTTCGTTTTGGAGCCAACCACCTTATGCCGCCGTCGCCGCCGCTGCTGCTGCAGCTGCTGCTGCTGCCGCTGCTCGGGCGAAATTACACATAGCCACATCATGTCCGAAAGGAATGAAGCACCCAGACCCACTCCCGGAGACTCCTGTTGCAGCAGCGTGGGTGTCATGTGCAGGTAGTGGTCTGCTGCCGCCTGTACAATTCCCGGTGACACTTCTGCTGCTGCTGCTGCACCTGTGGATGGTGACACGCTGAGCAGACGCAGGAACTGTGAAGCGTTACTGCGGGCCACCGAAGGCTCCTGGTGCTCCTGCTGCTGCTCTTCTGGAGCTGCAGCCTCCACACTATTCGGTACACCACCTGCTGCTGTCCTTCCTGTTGCTACTCCTGCTGCAGCTGCTGCTGCACTCGATCCCTGCTGTTGGGGGGAGTGCTCGAGGTGGGGCAGAGCCCAGCGGAGGGCTCTCGCAATTTCCTCTAATGCGACCTGCATGGGTGATAGCATTGTATTTTTGCAGCAGCAGCAGTCCTTGTTCCTGCTGCTGGTGTCACTTTGTTGCGGAGTTTGTTGCTCTTTTTCTAAGGGCCTGGGGGCGTCTTCCTCGGCAAGACAGGTTGATGCAGCAGAGCCGCAGGCAGCAAGACAAGCCCTGAATGCAAGCCATAGGCGATCGCAGCAATTTGCTGCTGCCTCCAACCATAGCTTTTGAATTTGCAGTGCTTCTGCTGCTTCCTTTGCCACCCGCAGCTGCGCCCGCAGCCCCAAGTGAAGTTCGCTTAAGACACCAGAGCCAAGAGAAGCGGGCAGAGAAGCTGCTGCCGCACGAAGGCTCCGCCGCTGTGCAGCCTGCAGCACGCGAGGCATCGGCTGCTGCAGCTCCCCAAACAACCCAAGCAAGGAGAACAAATTCTTGCTGCTGCACCCACCACCTGTCCCTGCTGCTCCTGCTGCTGTCGACGGAGCAATACGCAGCGCAGCTGCCACACGCACACCTGGAGGACAAGTCCTTGAAGGCGCCTTGGTCCCCTCCAGGAAAAACAGGCACCCACACTCACAGTAACACGGTCCCTGCTGCTGCTGCTGTTCCTTCTGCTGCTCTTCATCCCCTGCGGACTCAGCGGCTTCCGCCCTGGCGAGCCTGCAGCGGCAAGAGGCAGCAGCTTCAGCAGCAGCCATGAGGGCCTCTTGAGAGGGGCCCCACACTCGCAGAAGGGGCTGCGCAGGTACTCCCTTAAGAGGGGAAGGTGTTCTGTGCGTGAAGGTGACAATCCTCTCCGTTGCTGTTCCTGCTGCTGTTGTTGATGTCAGTACGGTAGCTTCAATCCTATGCAAGTCCCTGGCTTGATCCTCGCGCCCTGCTGCTGTTGCTGCTGCTGATGCAGCTCCTGCTGTTCCTGCTCCTGCTGTTCCTGCTCCCGTTGTTGCTGTCCCTGATCCGGCCGTCGCTGTTTCTGGTGTCGTTGTTCCTGCAGCTGATGGTCCTGCTGTGGCGGCTCCGTCTGTTGCTGTTGCTCCTGCTGTTGTCGTTGCTGCTGCTGCTGCCGTGCCGGAATCTTCTCTATCGCCCACCCCTGGCAATGCAGGTGGCGCAACAGCAAACCTGTCCTCCAGAGGCAGCGACAAACGGGCTGCAGCATCTGCAGGTCCTGGTGTGTCAACGACACCCAATGCAACGACGCTGCGTTTATTCTTGCTGCTGCTGCTGCTGCTGCTGCTGCTGCTGCCGGCTGCCGCTAGCTCCTGCCCCGACAACTCAGCAAGCGCAGCACCCACTGTCCTAACCCACACCTCCACGAAGCAAGGCCCCTTTGCTGTCTGCAGCAGCAGCCGCTGGGTCCTCGTGAAGTGCTGTTGGAGCAAACGGGCGCCGCGAGTGCTGATGCGGATTGGTGCACATCCCTGAGGTGCTGTGGGGACTTCTTCCCAAGGAGACCCTCTGTGCCATCCCGTCAAACCCGAGGTGCTGCTGCTGCACTGATCTGCTGCTGAAGCTGCTGCGGCTGCGGCTGCTGCTGCACGTGCTGACGCTGCTCCTGCTGCTGTTGCATCACACGAGACTGGCAGAAAAACAACGGCCGCGTCTACCAAGGCCTCACTCGGGCAAACGCACGCTTGCCTACTGCTGCTGCTGCTGCTGCTGCCACGGCGGCCCCCGTCAGCTGCAGACGTTCGAGGAGCCTTCGTTGTGTGTGCTGGTGTTGATCCTGCTGTTGTTGCTGTTGCTACTGCTATTTCTGCGGCTGTTGCTGTTGCCGCTGTGTCTTGGGCCACTAAGGCAGCCTGCCACGACAGCAGCCGTTGCAACGCGTCGCCCGTCGACCGCATGACAGTCGCACAGCAACTGCTCACAGACGCTACGTCTTCGGCAGCAGCTGCTGCAGCACAAGCCCTCGACGCTGCTGCTGTGGCATCACCGTCGCCTCTGGGCGAAGTGCGATCTGCCACGCTCTGCTTCTGCTGCTGCTGCTGCTGCCTTTCCAAGCTGGATTTAAGCAGCAGCATAAGGAGGTGGAGGAGGTGGGGAACGAGCCATGCCCTCTCCACAACAGCATTTGCTGCTGTCAGCCCCTGAGCATCCACCCCAACGCTGCGGAGCACCTGGAAAGCAGCAGCAGACCCGCTCCCCCAAAGGTGTGCAGCAAGAGATTCGCAGAGAGCTGCCAATCCCGCCACTGACGAGATGCCGCCACAGCGGCTGCGACGGTCCTGCAGCAGCAGACGTGCCACAGGAGGAACCCAAGGAAGCTGCTGCTGCTGCAGCTGCTGCAACTGGTGATGCAGTGGCTGAGGATCACCATCGCAGTCGGGACGCCCTTCGAACAAATACGCGTAGAAGGGGCGGCAAACCACTTCATAGTCCGTCACCAAACACCTGCAGCACATGCCGCAGCAGCAAGAGTGTGTGTGAGTGTGGGTCCCCAGAAGCACGCGCGGAGTGGTAGTCTACTCAACTGCAGCAGTAGCAGCAGCAGAGCACTAGCAGCAACAGCAGCAGCCATAACGTACCTATGCAATTCTGCTGCAGCAAAGGGGGCGGGAATCGAAGCAGCCCCTGGGGGCCCCAAGAAGGTCACTGAGACGCTCTGCAGATGGCGCAGCAGCCTCCATACAGAATCCACCGCAAGACAAGTGAGCTGCGATGTGCTGCTGCTGCTGCGGCTGCTGCTGCCATTCCTGCAGCCGTTGGTGGTGGCAGCAGTGATGCTGGTAGTATGGCGATCCACCGAAGGTAGCCGCTGCAGCTGGAGCTGCTGCAGCAGCACGGCCAGCCCCCTTGCGGCCACCCCCACCCTCAAGCCCAAGCCCTGCAACAGCTCGAGCGCTATGCGGAGGGAGGTGGGATCGACGTCTCCCAGCAGCAGCCGCAGCGCTGCGTGTAGCGGAGCGTGCCGCTTGAGCCGCTCTACGAGACCCGCGTATATCTGCCGCAGCGACAGTTGGTTCCCTGAACTGGCACTGCTGGTGGCTGCTGCTGAGCCTTCTGCCGCAGCAACAGCAGCAACGAACTCTTCCACAGGGTCGTTCGGTAGCCGCTGCAGCTCAATGGCCTTCACCGCTATGACTGCTGCCTCTACTGCCTTGCCCGCACTGAAGTACAGCTGCGGATTCTTCCTTGATGTTCCTCCTCCACCCATGTTTGCTGCTTGCTGCGCCTTTGCATGCAAATGCAGCCTCGCCTGCTGCGTCGCGTAATGCCACAGAGCAGCTAGGAGCAGCGAAGGAGGTCGTCGTTGCTGCTGCTGTTGCTGCTGCTCCTGCTGCTGTGACGCTCCTCGCCGCTCCAGGGAGCAAAGGAGGTTCTTGAATACCGAGTATAGACAGGGTACAGCCCATAAATGTGCAGCAAAGACTGCCCTCTCAAGCCACTGCATGCGCAAGAACGACCCCGGCAGCAAAGATGGTAGCTGCTGCTTCAGCTGCAGCGGCAACGGCTCGGACAGCACCGCCTCGAGCTGCTGCATGCGCATGCTGCCAAGACAAATAAACTCGGAGAGGAGAGAACCAGCACTCTCCTCTCCCCACACCCAACCACCAGCAGTAGCAGCACCACCAGGCACAATACCTGTTTGCTGGTGGTGCTGCTGCTGAAGCAGTTGCGCGTCCGCAGCAGTGAGGGCGGCTCGGCTTGCTGACCATGGGATAGATACGCAGGGCGTGGGGCGTGCGAGGGGCGGGCTGCCTCCAGCTGCTGTTGCTGCTGCTGTGATAAACGAGGGGTTATCTGCATACGAGCAGCACCAGAGCTCTGGCGGCTGCAGACGCGCAAGGCTTGTGCGCAGCAAGTTGCTGACAGCTCTGCATGCAAGGAGGAAGTCGCTGCCCCCCAGTTGCTGCAGTGAGTCAATATCCCTTGTAAGGCCCCCTCTTCCTCCCCAAGACCGCAGCGGACTTACATCATCTGCTAAGTGCAGCAGCAAAGAAGACACGGTATCTGCTGCCAGCAAACGTAGCTGGCATGGGCCCCCAGCGGAGAACGCAAGACGCCGTCGCGTCGCCTCCACCACCACACGCAACCCCCAGTCGCCACCCTTATTGCACAAGCTCACGTATATCTGCAGGGGGAACAGCAGCAACAACAACAACAGCAGTAGTAACAGAAACCGGCACACACCCATATGAACACACGGGGGAGCAGCAAACAGCAGCAACAGAAGCAACTGCACGAGAAGCACTAGCGAAAACAGTCAACAGAAGGCGACTGAGATAAACTGAGAGAATTCTGCAACAACGCGCAGCATATCTATGCCGCTCTCCAGCAGCAGCAGCAACAGCAGCAGCAGCATGGGAACAGGCCGTACCTCGAGCTTTCTAACGTCCTTGAAACGTAGCCGTGTCGGCGTCCCCTCCCGCACTCTATGGGTTTTGGGGCCTTGCGCAGTTAACACCTGCAATGCGAACAGCAGCAGCGACAGCAGCAGATGCAGCAGCAGCAGCAACAGCAGCAGGGCAAACATCTGCATGAGCTCAAGCCTAACACCGGTGTCGCCGTCAATGACTAGTAGAAAGTAGCACCTCCCGTGTCCGCGGCTTCGGAACTACCATGGAGACTGCAGTAGCACCAGTAGCAGCAGCACAAGCAGCAGCAGAAGCGGGTCCTCCCTACCTTGATTACAACTTCTCCTTTTTGTGCTGCAGCAAGGCTTCTGGGGTCGATCTGCACACGGAGACGCCGCGCAGCAGGGGGAGGAGGGCCCCCCTCGCTAGGCAGCCAGGGAGCTGCTGGTGCAGCAGAAGGCCTTTGTCGTGACGACCCAAGCAACGAGCTCGCCCCGCTGCTGCTGCTTGCCGCTCCTGTTGCTGTTTGGCCCCCACTGAGATCGCTGCCCCCTCCAGCCGCTCGTCGATTGCGGCCTTGAGCTGCACCACCGCTCCCGCCTGCAGCTGCTGCTCCTGCTGCTGCTGCTGGAACGTGATGCAGCTCTGTCGCCCCCCACTTTGAAGAGAAGTCTAAGACAAAACGCTGTGCTTCAAAGGGGACAGTTGGATGCGGTGTCTCCAGTATGTACACCGCAGCATCTTCGCGGGACTCCCTTGTATAGCCCTCATCCCAGCTGCTCTCGCTAAGACTAATACCTGAACTGCTGCTGCTGCTGCTGCTGCTGCTGCTGGTGATGTCCATCCGTGCGTGCAGAGCCTTGCTCACGGTAGAGAGACCAGCAGCAGCGGTGTCCGCCCTGGCTGCTGCTGCTGTCAGGTCTCCCTGCAGCAGCATGAGCTGGGGCAGCACCCGCAGCAGGAAAGCATCTACCTCCTGCAGCAGCAAAGCTACCCTCACAGGGGGTGACTCAGGGCGAGGGACTCCGCCTGTGCCAAGGGGGGGTTCCCGCTTCAACAGCAGCTGCAATGCATCAACAAGAGAGTGCCGCCTGAAGCGTAGCAGCAGCAGCAGCTGCAGCAACACCACAGAAACCACTTGCTGCACTTCCCCATCAGGCGGGACCCGAAACCTCTCGCTGCTGCTGCTGTTGCTGTCGCTGCTGCTGCTGCATTGAAGAGCAGCAAATATACATGTAATTGACTGGGCGAGCAGATGCAACCTGTCCCGCACTTTCATTGTTAGACTACTCTCTGTGGGGCACAAGCTCGAGACGCTGCCTGCTATGCTGCTGCTGTCTGCTGCAGGAGGTGAGTTTGTTGTCTGCTGCTGCTGCTGTTGTTGTTCGTCCTGCTCCTGACGTCTTTCCGTCAGCGGAGCCCTTGCTTGCGCTGCTAATGCTGCCGATAGAGAGGACACTTCTTGCTGTCCTGCTGCTGCTGCTGCTGCTGCTGCTGCTGCTGCAACTGCCGTGCTTTGAACTGGCGAACTTGGGTGAGAGGACCGGCCTTCGTCACTGCTGCCATCGGAGGATACCGCAAAAGACGGCTCAAATGGCCTTGCTTCTGCTGCTGCTGCTCCCTGCGCTGCTGCTGCAGCTGCCGTCGCCGCCTGTGTAAGTGGTACTGCTGTTGCAGCTTTGCTGCTGCTCCTCCGTCTCCGCTGTTGCTGTTGCTGCTGATCGCGGCTGTTCGCTGTATGCACACCGCGCCAGCGGCACACCAGGATCGTCTCCTCCACTGCATGCAACAACCCCCGACGAACACCAGCAAACTGCTGCAGCAGCAACCGCCGCAAGGCCCTCAATGCCAAACAAGAAAGATGTGATGCAGACAACTCGAAAGCTCCATCCTCTGTCTGCTGCTGTTGTTGTTGTGGTTGGTCCTGCTGCTGCTGCTGCTGCTGTTGCTGCTGCTGCTGCACATCGTCGCTCATAAAACTGCTACTACGCCCGTTGCTTGTGCTGCCGCTGCTTGCAAAGGCCTTTTGAAGGGGTATGGCAGCCGGAAGCCTGCCAATACGGAGCAGCGTCTGCTGCAGCTGCAGCAGCAGAGGGGCTGGGCAGTGTGCTGCCGCTACAGCAGCAGCATTGCAGCTGGAGAGTGCATGCAGTGCGTTGGATGCGACACCTGCTAGTGCAACTACTTCCACTGGAGAAAAGGTTTGCTGGTGCTGCTGCTGCTGCTGCCTCATACCGAGAGCAGCAGCTGCTTGCGGGCCTGCAACAAGGACGCCCAAGGTGTCGAGACACCGCAGAATTAACGGCAGCGTCTCCACGAAGGCTTCTGCTGCAGCACGTGTTGCACCCGAGAAGGTAGGGAAGCTGTCAGCATCGCTTGATCTATGTGTAAGTGTGAATCCACCACTTCGTATATCTGACCTCCCTGCACCGACAGCAACAGCCGCTGCTGCTGTTGCTGCAGCAGTAGCAGCAGCAGCTGCTGCTGCCACCGAGCCGCCAGCAAATGGCAACAAGCCTGCTGTGGCCAACAACCGTAGACACTCAACACGAGTGCCACAAGAAATCTCTACTGCTGCTGCTCTTAGCTGCGCTGCCCAGTGTGGCGTTGTGGGTAGACGCGGCAACTGTAATCCTGATGAACACTGATCGATGCAGCAGCAGCAACTGCTGCTGCTGCTGTTGCTGCCGTTACCGCTGCAGCAGCAGACTCCTGTAGCACCCAGCCTGCTGTGGGCAAGACACTCAGCGACAGCAGGCACAGGAGACAACAGCGGAGCAGCTGCCTCCGCCTCCGCGAGCAATACTCGCGGAGACACAGACTCCTCAAGGAGACTAACCCTGCTATCAAGTGCTGCTGCTGCTGTTGCTGCAGCAGCAGTGTACAGGCCCCGTGTGCTGCCACCCGGCTGACGCTGAGCTACTGCTGCTGCGCAGCAAGGAAGCAGCAACGACCAGAGACGCAACATGGAGACTGCTGCAGACAGTAAGCAGCTCTCAGTTGCTGCAGCAGCAGCGCAAGCTCTCCTACTTGCTCCTACTGCAGAATACGTTGACGGCTGCGCTCCCTCGTGCGGTGTCTCGTGTTGTTGTTGCTGTTGCTGCTGCTGGATCCAGCGTACGTGCTGTTGCTGCTGCAGCGTGCGGATGCTGACAACAATGCATGAGTGCAGCAGCCAGAGAGCAGCACTGTCGGGTTTGAATACGAAGGCAAATCTGTCAGTGCCCTCAATGGGGTCACCTGCGTCTGTGCTGCGGAACCTGTATTGCTGCTGCTGGTGCTGCTGCTGGTGCTGCTGAAAAGAGTCAGCTGCTTCCCGCTGCTGCAGCGTGGCGCGCCCTTCCTCAGCTAGGCGCAGCAGAGCAGAAGCAACAACAGCAAGAAGTGCTGCAGGGTCTGCTGCAGCATTACGTACAAGGAGGAACTCCGTGCTGCGGTGATGCAGCTGCTGCACCACAATCTGCCGCAGCTCGCGGCCGCTTAAGGCAGGAAGAGACACTAGGGCGGCTGATTGTGTTGGTGACGATAAGGAGACACAAAAACGATAACCAACTGTCTCCTTTTCTAGGAGAACCGGCAGCAAAGGGCCACCTAGCAGCGGCAAACACTGCCATGTGTAAACCTGCAGCAGCACAAACAGGCAAGCACAAAAACACATGCACACGCAAGACACACATGCATGCATGCACGTGTGCACGCATAAAGCCCCAAATCCGTTCATGCGGATGTATAAATGCATGGATGCATGCGTGCATGCATATATACATCGACTATAATCACTAGTATATCCATTACATCATTATAACAATATTCTCCTCCTGCCTCCTGCTCGTGTGTATATTGTGGTCTCTGCGTTGCTTCTGCTGCAGTTGGGGTGTATATGCAGGTCTTAATGTTACGCACTCTTTTTCCTCCTACAAAGATAACTAATATTCCTTTATCTGCATCTAGCAACAAAGTAAATCGCCAACTTCTTTTCCCTCCGTCAATGTCTCCTCCTGCTAATGCCTGCTCAAGACGCTGCAGTGTCTTTGTGTCTCCTCTGCTGCAGCAGCGCCAACGGTCCCTCCCTGCTGCTGCTGCTGCTGCTGACGATGACGATGATGATGAGGAGGAGGAGACGCCCATAGGAAATGATCCCTCCTCCTCAGACACCAACCGGGTCCGCTCAGGGCTGCTGCTGCTGCTGGTGTTGAAGCTGCCGTTGCTGCTGATGTCAGCTGCAGCTATACCTCCAGCACCAATCCCATTAGCAGCAGCAGCAGCAGCAGCAGCAGCAGAAGGTTGATGGTGTCTATGAAGGAAGACATTTGCCCATGTTTCTCCGTTACTGCTGATGGCGCAGCATCCGGGTGTCCCTACAAGAGGCCCTTCTAGTCTGCCGCACCGCCGCAGCGTCTGCCTCCTTACACGCTGCTGCTGTTGCTGCTGCTGTTGCTGCTGTTGCTGCTGCTGTTGCTGCTGTTGCTGCTGCTGCTGCTGTTCTGCTGCTGGTGGGGATGATGGTCTAGGGGTATCATCAACAACATAGAGGAACCCCTGTGCGTCGCATAAGGCAACCCCTACCTGAAATACATGCAAGGGGTAAGGAGGGGGATCGGTTCCCTCTACCTTTGCTGCTGCTGTTAGTGTCTCGGATAGGCGCAGCTGACAGACATGAACACCTTGTCGTACCCATTCCCTTGTCTCAGCAGCAGCAAACCATTCTTCACGTACGCTGCTGCTGCTGCTGCTGTTGCTACCGCTACCACTGCTGCTGCTGCTGCTGCTGTTTGTAGAGGAAGAGGCACTCTCACTACCTTCCCATACACCACCGCCAACAGAACCACCTGGTGTTGCAACATCTGCAGCTTCTACAACATCGCCACCGTTGCTGCTGCTGCTGCTGCTACCAGCAACCGCAGCACCACTCCTTGCTGCACCAGCTTCCCCGCCATTGGCAGGCAACCGCGTTGCAGCAGCTGCTGCTGCTGCAGCCGCAGCATGGGGGCTGCTGTGTTGTTGCTGGCCGTTTTGCTGCTGTTGGATGTAGGTGTGAACAGCAGCGTCAGCTGTAGAAGAAGCAGCAGCAGCAGGCACCAAAGGAGGCAGCAAATCCTGCAGTCGCTGCAGCGGGCGGGGTCCCTGTTGCAGCAGCACATAAGTAGTAGATAATGTCTCCTCTGCTGTTAGCATTAAGATCTCATCACGTAAAGACATGGGGGGTCTCCATCCTTGTCCATCTGGTAGCCACAAGGCTGTCTGCATTCTGCTGCTGCTGCTGCTGCTGTTGTAGTAGTGTCGTCGCCGCTCCTCCGGAGGCGCTGAGCTGTCCATACACTCTAAATCGCTCCCTGGAGGTAACGATAAATATGCTAGTCGTGTCTGCTGCGGCTGCTGCAGCAGCCGCACGCAGCAGATCGCGCCAGGGGGGACAACTGCAGCCTTTAGTCCTGTCCATCCGGGTATAATATAGGTGTCTTGCTGCTGCTCCTCCAGCTGCCGGTGCAGCAGCACCAGCTGCTGCTGCATCTGCATCTGCTGCTGCGCAGAAGAACGATTGGATTGAACAGAAGCGGAAAAGGGAGATAACAACATAATCGAGTCCCCTTCGTCTTCCGGCTCGCCAGATACTGCAGCAGCAGCAGCAGCTGCTGCTGCTGCTGCAGCGCTTGCTGGCTGTCTAGACACCTCAGGAAACAACTCCCCTTCCTCCTCTGTTGATGAGGCACCCGAGTCGCTAGCTCTACCAAGAGTAGCAACACCATCATGCGTTGCTGCTGATGGCTCGCTAGCAGCAGCAGCAAGTGCAGCAACAACAGAAACAGCATCAGCACCTCCAGCAGCAGCAGCTTGCTGCTGCTGCTCTCCACCCTCCAGCCCTTCGCGCGCCGGACTGTGGGGCCGCCACGTCACAACGCGGGGGTTGCCACTAACGACGAGGAATGCGCGGCCTCTTGTCGCAGAAACAGTGGCAGCAGCAGCAGCAGCTGCTGCTGCTGCTGCTGCACCATCCTCACCAACCCTAAGAGACCAAGAGAAATCCTTTAGGAGAGACAACATCTGCAGCTCCTCCAGTGCTGCATCTCCCCATGCTGCTCCCTCAGCAGCAACTGTATTAACATCGTCATCTGGTGCTGCTGCATCTGCTGCTGTTGCTGCTGCACCTGATGATGCTGCTGCTGCTGTAGCTGTATCTACGGAAGAAGGCGATTCGGTCGAACTCTCTCCTCCCGTGTCGTCGAGATGCTGCTGCTGCTGCTGCTGCACTGCAGCAAGACAGAGCAGCAACAGCAGCAGCAACTCTCGCAATGACCCGTGCCTTATCCCAGAGCTTACAGCTGCTTCGCTGACTGCTACACGTGCTGCTGCTGTTGCTGCTGCTACTGTGCCTCCACGCTGCTGCATGTGCCTCCATAGCAGTTCCATCAGCTCTAACGCTTCCTGCTGCGTTGTATCAGCAGCAACAGGGGCCCCCCAATGGCCTCCACTGGTCTTGGGGGCCCCTAGGCTAAAGGGCGGACTGACACGAAGCTGCTGCAGCAGGCGCCTTGCCCTCCGCTCTATAGCAACAATCGCCTGTGCTGCAGCTTCCTTACCGCTTGGTGCAGCAGCAGCAGCACCACTGGCAGCAGGCCCTGTTGCTGCTGCCTGTAATGAGGGGTCTGCAGCCTCGTAAGGGGCCTCCTCTCCCCATAAGCCACCTTGAACCCTTCTAGGCGGCAGCAGGTGCTGTTGCTGCTGCTGCGCTGCTGCTGCTGCTGCTGTTGCTGTTGACGTTGTCACTGTTTCTGGATCTTCGTCCCCTTTTGCTCCTGCTGTCTCCCCTGCATTCCCCGGCAACGTTGGTGCTGTAGCCGCGGCAGCAGCAGGAGCGGGAGGGGCCGCAGTAGCTGCTGCAGCAGCTGCAACAAGTCCCTGTTGGAGGGGTGGTGCTGCTGTTGCTGCTTGTGCTGGTGGTGGCGTTGCAACCGCTCGCTGCAGCCAAGGATTCCCGCGCTGCAGCACGGATTTTCTTGCTGCTTGCTGCTGCAGCAGCACCTCCGTAAATGCCTCCAACACAGGTCTGCTGACACTAACAGTAAACATAAGAGCGAGCTCCTGCTGCAGCAGCAGCCGCGGCACTGCAGCAAACCATGGCGGCAGCAACCCGAGGGGCCTCTTCATCAATCCTACCCCTAAAGACTCCATCATTAATAAGCCCCCATACCTCCTACTAGGGGCCCCCAGGGCCTCTCGGCCACCGGGGCTAAGGGGGGGCCCCCCAGGGGGCCCCCACTCTTCCTCCTCATAGAACTGCCACTGAGACTGGGAAGGTGGAGGCAGCTGAAGAGCAGCAGTGGCTACAGCCAAGGATAAACTGCTGCTGATACTGCTCCCGCTGCTGCTGCTCTCATCACTGGTGCTGCTGCTGGGACTACTGCTGCTGGAGGCGCTGGCAGACACGCCGCTTGATAGCGTTCGCGGCTGCGCATCCTCGTCAGCAGCAACAGCACCAGGAGCAGCAGGACCTACAGCAGATGCTGCCACTGCCTGCTGTTCAAATGCTGCAGCAAATGCTTGAAGGGCCCATCTGCCACTTGGTGCTGCTGCAGGTGGCTGCGTATCAGGAGGCGCTGTCTCCTGCTGCGAGGGAACCCGCTGGGGCGGCATAGCTGCTGGTGCAGCAGCCGCTGCTGCTGGTCGCTACTGCTGCTGCTGCCGGTGCTGTTTCTGCAAAGAGACACCGCACAAGGTCCTAGGTTGTTAGGCTGCACGCCAGCAGCACCACGAAGACCCGTGCTGCCGCTGCTGTCTGCGGCAGCCTTGCTGCTGCGCCAGCAAAGCCGCTTTGTGCATGCAGGGGGCCCCTGCGGATTATACGGTCCCTCAATGGTCAGCCAAGGTAAAGAAGAAACCTTCTGGGCCTCGGCCGTATCCTCCCCGCCGTAGCGGTATATCGGTGCCCTCTGCTGCGGCACCTTACTCGGGGCTCTGCTGCTGCTGCTGCTACAGCTTCTGATGCTGCTGCTACTGCGGATGCCGCCTCTGCTGCTGCTAGTATTGCTGCTAGAAATAGCTGAGCAGACTGGCAGGGCCAGAAGGCTGCGCGCCGACGGAGTGAGCTGCCGAGACACTACGGAGCCAGCAGCAGAGTGTATGGGCAGCAGAAGCAGCTGCTGCCCATACACTTCAAAGGAACATACAAGACTCACGCGAACAAAACGATAGGGAAGAAAAAAGAAATGGCAAACAACGCAACGCTTTCTGGGGCTGATAAAGGGATGCCAGCGCAACCAACAGCAGCAGTTTTGCTGCTGCTGCTGCTGCTCCGTTTACTGCTCTGTTTTGGAGGGTGTTGCCACTATTACTGCATTATCTTCATCCTTCAGCTACTACTTTCCTTTACTTAAACGTTTATTACTGCATGCTGCTTCTACTTCTCCTCCTCTCCTCTATTTCATTACCCCCGTCGCCCGCTGACGTCTTGAGCGGTGCCTGGGGGCCGACTGTGGAGAGGCGCCGCCGCTCCATCAAAGTCTAAACCCTAAATCCTAAACCCTAAGCCCTAAACCCTTATCTCAGTTGAATGCAATTATGGATAGGAGACGCCTGAGTACAGGGTTTGTTCTACTAGACTCCGTGCATTTGCTTCCTTGCTGCAACAGCAGCTATTTTAACAAAGGAGCAGCAAGAAGGCCTAGAGGGTTGTGTGGGGTTTTGCATAGGGTTTATATGCAAGGTTTCAAGTATAAGGCTTGAGCTGTATCTCCGTAGCTGATTTCGTTATCTCTACTAACATAAGAGCGCCCAGGAGTGTCTAGGAGCGCCTGTTGGAGCTGCATACACTACATCTGCCGTTCCTATTGTACAACAAACTTAAACAAAGCAACGTATCTTCTTATCCTTACCTCATCGTCTTTATTTCATGTTTTTGTTCTACCCTTGCTCTCCCCTGTTAGACTCTCTATGTACCGCCGTTTACAGCACCCCCGAAATCCACACCTGAGGTGGATTTGTTGCTGATTGGTGTTGAGTTTGCTGCTCCATTTGTGTTGAATTTGTTACCCCTATTATGCTGAATATTGTTTTCCTCTCGTGGGGGTTTTGACCCACAACTCGTGTTGGATTTCTTGCTGCTCTTAAGACGAGCGGATCAGCAAATGCAACACAGCAAGTTACATCCTTACTTATTTGCCCTTGTTATTAGCATTCTTCCCGAGGAGAAAACAAGTGCCCCAGCTTAGCAGAAGAATTTGAGGAGAAGTTTCTAGGAGCATTTATTACTGACGCAGGGAGACGCAGCAGTACATGGAGTACTTTAACAGTCGTTGGTTGTTGGATTGTTGGCTATCTGGTTGTTCGTATTTTAGTTGTATGCAGTCCAGTCGTTTGCTGTTTGGCCGTTTGTTGCCCAATTGTTCGGTGTTAAGTTCCGATTTCTGTAAGTGTTGGTTGTTGCGTTGTTCGTTGCCTGACTGCTGTGCGTTGCTTCGTGGTCTCATTGTTGCACTGTGCTTCCCCTTTGTCACACTCACCGAGGCTGTAGCACTTTCCCCCTCAGTGTTAGTTATTGTACGGTGCAGAAGCCATCAACTTCTTCTGTTGAATTAAAAACCGCCAGCAGCAGCAATACAGGCTCATTAGTAGGTTGGTACGGGAACGGGCTATGGCAGGGTTGAACACGCTTAAGCAAAACGTACAGGTAAATCGCTGTATTGAGAAGTAATAGTCGCAAGCGAACAGATGTCACACGATTGACATGGGATTCCTGTACCAGTGGTTCGTCCGAGGAAAGTTGTCGGTAGTAGGCTAGGCAGCGGAGAGGGAATTAAGAGGTGAAACATCTCACATTGGAGAGATGGTGAAATGGTCTTGCCCCAACGATAGGGAAACGTACAGATATACAGCCAGACCGGAGATGGAATAGGTCAGGTTTGGAAGCGATCCAGATATTGAGCCTATGTATGTTGGGGCTGTGAATGATGACCTCGGGCAGGGACGTATCCAGGGACGACGTACAGGGCTGAGCACATTCTCTTTCAGCAGCAAACAAAGTGCCATAATTCGCGAAGAGATTGTTACATGCAGCATAGACCATGCTGGGTTAGAAAAACTGTTTGGACTTGGCACATCTTGCCCGATTTGACGGACAGTAGGCAAGCAAATGCGCCCAACATCAATCTGCCCTGTTATCACTGCAAATAATTCTTATTTATGCTTGTATTGGGGCTGCCCTGCACCTTGAGCAGCAGCAAGCTGCGTTGCAATTCATTGTAGTTTGCCTCATTTCCCGCGACCCCAGGCGCTTGGGCTGCTGAGCTCAGGAGGCCTGCAAACTGGGGAAGGAGGTCAAGCAAATCTAGGGAAATTTCATATAAACTACTCTGCCTTCCCCACAGCTCGCAATAATCCTTGGATAAGACCTCAGCACAAGCACGCTTGAGAGGTCCTCCACTTGTGTACATAGAAGAAAGTTGCCATCTTAGCAGGAACCCTCTCCTCTCTGCCTGCGCTGTTCTGGCAAAGTAGCTACAATTTGTGTGCTGTTGCCCCTGACAAACTAGTAGCACCATTGAAGTCACCTGAATGTCATCTCCTCTGTGTACTTCTTTGCTGGCGCTCAATATTTTACCTCTACCCTAAGAGTTCCTCCATAGCCCCTATTCCAACTCACAAGGAAGCGATGCATGCGGCCTTAATTACGGGGGACCTATTATTTCTATTTTGTTATATGCCGTTGGATACAGATAGTAGCAGTCAGCATGCACAAACCCAATAGTAACCCCACCAATGCCCCTCTCTTTAGTAGGGAACAAACAAATAAAAATGAATATTTGCCTAGGTGAGGTCAGCATATAGATGTCAGCTACTTTTTGCTGCATTTGCTGCTGTCTCCGCCGCTCCTGTGCGTCCCTCTAGAGGCGTTTAGCAGCAAAGACACCTAAACCCCATTGGCTATAGAAAGAGCCCCCCTCTACAGAACTGAAGGGATATCTATGAGGTCAATACAAACAAGAAAAAATATGAAGAAATAGGAGACAGCCAATAGAACAATCAACATCATAGCAGCAAATTGCTGCAGCACGTGAAGCGGTGCTGCTGCTGGGGGGCCCCTCTCTATACAGCAGCAGAACTGCTGCAGCAGAGGCCATTCATTGTGCTGTGCTGCTGTTTGTCTTTTTATTTAAATAGACAAGTAAATAAATATAATATGGAAAGTATCGTTGCTGAGTGTCGCAACGTACGCCTGAGGCATGCAGCGGCAGTAGAGATGCAGCAGCATCAGTAGCAACGGCGGCAGCAGCAGCAGCAGGAAACAGCAGCAGCAGCAACAACAGGAGCAGCAGCAAGAAGGCGGTCGATAAGAGGGGGACGCCCTGTTGTCTTTAAGAAGTTGTAAACAAAAAGTTGCCATAAAAGAAAATTGGTGAGGAGAGAGAGATCTGGTGGATATGCGCACAGGCTGCAACAGTAGCAGGAGCATCACAGGAGGAAGAAGAGGAGCAGCAGCATCAACAGCAGCAGCAACAACAACAGCAGCAGCAGCAGCAGCAGCAGCCAGGAGCGGTGTGGTAGCCGGAGCAGCAGCAAGTCGGCGCTGACAAATTAATTGCCAACTTATTTCTTTCTTAAGGTTTTTTCTTTGTCATCTATTTAAGCAGCTCTGTCTTTTTGCTGCTTTTTTCTTGCAGGCGCCCCCTTGGGGGTCTGAGTATATCTTTGTGTATAAATAATATATATATACATATACATTTATATATTTATTTATATATATATTCTTTTTTTTTCTTCTTTCTGCAGTTGTCTTTGTTATTCTTCTCCTCCTACTGCTGCTGCTGCTGCTGCTCCTCTTGCTGCTGCAGTTCACAATGGCTCTCAAGCACCTCACGCGCAGCGCCGCGGTGGCCTGGTGCCCTGCGGGGTTGAATTTACAGCAGGACAGCAGCAGCAGCAGCAGCAACAGCAGCAGCAGTAACAGCAGCAACAGCAACAGCAGCAGCAACAGCTGCAGCAGCGGAGGGAAGGGAACACAGCTGCTTGCATTGGGTACCATGGGTGTTGATCCCTGTCTTGAGTTTGCATGCGTTGATCTTTCTTCTTCTGCTCCTTCTCTTCCCGTTGTTGCATGCGTTCCTGCTCCTGCTCCCTTCCAGTGTATTGCATGCGCTGCAGCAGAAGATGCAGCAGCAGCAGCAGGTGTGGGGCCCCTAGTTGCAGGAGGAATGTCTGATGGTGATGTTACTCTATGGAGTGCAGCAGAGATCCTCAGGTGAGTATGCTGCTGCTGCTACTGCTGCTGCTGCTGCTGTGGATCTTCCTGCTGCTGCTGCTGTTGTTGTTGTTGCATGACGTTGTGTGTGTATACGGGGATGCGTTATCCTTTATTTGCGGTGTATATTGACAAAACAGGCAACATAAACAACATAAAGAGTTACATCCTTACGGTGTATATATAACATAAACATATTTCCTATTTCTAGGGTTTAGGGTTTAGGGTTTAGGGTTTAGGGTTTAGGGTTTAGGGTTTATGTGTTGCAGAGCTCGTGGAGATGCGGTTTGCGGTTCATCATCATCAACGACACCACCAAGTGGCAGTAGTAGTAGTAGCAGCAGCTCAAACAGCAGCAGTAGCAGCAGCAGCAGCAGCAGCAGCAGCAGCAGCAGTTTATTACGTGCTGGTGTAGGACTCCTACAGACTGTATCGGTCCAACGAGGCCAGCGTATCCAGGCCTTACAATTTAGTCCTCTAAAGAATTCTCTTCTTGCTGCAGGCAGCAGCAACGGAGGACTATCTATCCTTGATTGCCAAGTACCTACAGAGGCACTGGCACATAAACCAGGTAATATTTATATATACATCTTATTGTCTAGCTAGCTAGCTAGCTAGCTAGCTAGCTGCCTACCGAGCTAGCTAGATGGGTAGCTACCTAGCAGGGTAGCTAGCTAGCTGGCTAGATAGCTAGCTGGATAGATAGCTGGGTGGGTAGGTAGGTAGGTAGGTAGGTAGGTAGGTAGGTAGGTGGGCAGGTAGCTAGCTAGCTAGCTAGCTAGCATACGGCATGGAGGGAAGGCTAGCTAATAGGTAGCCAACAGCTAGCTGAGTATCTAGCTATTGGGGTCGTTAGCTAGCTAGCTAGCTACCTAGGTAGCTAGCTAGCTAGCTAGGTAGCTAGCTAGCTAGCTAGGTACGAAGCCAGTTGTAGAGATAGCTAGCTAGCTAGACCTTCAGGTTTTTAATGTATTTATCCCCCGTTCCTGCTGCTGCTGCATCTGCTGCATCTGCTGCATCTGCTGCTGTTGCTGCTGCTGCTGTTGCTGCTGCTGCTGCTGCTGCTGCAGCACAAGAAGACTGTGAATGTACTTGTCTAAGTTGGAACTCTTCTGTTGCTCATATAATCGCGACGGGAACAAACAACGGACAAACTGTTGTATGGGACCTTAAGCAGAGGAAGCATGCAATTAGGTACAATTGCTGCTGCTGCTCCTGCTGCTGCTGCTGCTGCTGCTGCTGTTGATGGTCGTGGTGGCGGTGGTGCTGTTGATGGTGTTGCTGCTGTTTTCTGTTTGCTACTTCTATCGCTGCTGCTGCTGCAGCAACAGCAGCAGCAGCATGAGGAATGATGTTTTGCTGCTTCTGCTTCTGCTGTTGCTCTTGCTGCTGCTGCTGCTGCTGCTGCTGCTGCTGCTGCTGCAGTTTCTGTGACCCCCAGCACCGTCATTCCCGGCCTAGTGCTGTTTTATGGTTACCTAACCAACCTACACAATTATTACTTTGTTATGATGATGATAGAAACCCTTCACCACAGGTAATTTATTTATTTATTTATTTATTTATTTATTTATTTATTTATTTTATTTATTTATTTGTTTGTTTCCTTCTTTTATTATTTGTCTACTCTTTATCTTCTTTTTTTCTTCTTTTGTACCCCGTTGGGGTTTTATTAAGTGGGGTGTTTAGGGTTTAGGGTTTAGGGTTTAGGGTTTAGGGTTTAGTGTGTTCTTATTATTTTGTTTGTCTCTTTCTCCCTTTGTCTCCCTTTTATTCCCTTTTTATCTCCTTTTTATCTTCTTTATGCCTCCTCCTCCTACTGCATACTTTGGTGCTGCTGCTTTTACATATTTGCTGTTGCTGTTGCTGCTGCTGCTGCTGCTGCTGCTGCTGCTGCTGCAGTTATGGGACCTTCGTAACGCAACATTCCCTCTTAAGGAAGCAACACCTCAATCTCCTTTTGGTCATACAAGAGGAATTGTATCTGCTTCTCTTTGTCCTGCAGATAGTCGCATGGTTGTACGTTCCTGCTGCTGCTGCTGCTGCTGCTGCTGCTATTTGCTGCTGGTGGTGTTTGCTGCTGCTTATGATTATTATGATGTGCTTGTTGCTAGAGCACTCTTGGATGTTGCTGCTTGCTCCCTAGTGCTGCTGCTGTTGCTGCTGCTGCTGCTACTGCTGCTGGGCTGATGCTGTTTATATTTGCTGCTGCTGCTGTTGCTGTTGCTGCAGTTAACATGCGGTCGTGACAGCCGTCTTGTGTGCTGGTGGTTACCAGAGGAAGCAGCAGCAGCACAGCACAGCAGCAGCATAGAAGTATTCCTGCAGCAGCAAGCAGCAGAGCCATACATGCAAGTCTTATGGTCCCCTACAGCACCAGGTGTATATGCAGCAGCAACACCAATGGATATATCTGTCTCCTCCTTATTCAGCTCCTCCTTATCAGGGGGCCCCCATGCAGCAGGACCAGCAGATCGTTATTACCCTCATGAGGACGGAAGGGTCATGGGGCCCTGCAGCAGTACCTGCATCCCTTCATGGTTCAAGGTACTGCTGCTGTTGCTGCTGGTTTTTCTGCTGCTGCTGCTGTTGCTGCTGCTTGGCTTGCAGTATTTTGCTGCTGTATTATTATTATTATTGCTGCTGCTCTTGCTGCTTCTTAGCCTGCTGCCTTCTGACAGCACCTGCAGCCTGCTGCTGCTGCTGCTGCAGTCTCCTCCTGGTGTTGTCGCAGGATAGCACTACTTATTTTATATCCCTTTGTGTGCTGCTGCTGCTGCTGCTGCTGCTGCTGCTGCTGCTGCTGCTGCTGCTGCAGGTGCCTCGAGCTATGGACTGTAGTTCTGATGGTCGTCTTGCCTTTGGTTCTTCTTTTTCTTCTTCTTCTGTTGTTTTGTGTCCCTTTAAAGAAAGAGGAGAGGAGACAGAAGGAGGAGGAGACACAGAAGGAGCAGCAGCAGCAGCAACTGGTCATGCTGCTGCACTTGCTGCACAAGTGCAACAACTTGATGGACTCATACGCCAGCAACGTTGGGCAGATATATGCGAACTACAGCTGCAGCAGCTGCAGCAGCAGCAGCAGCAGCAGCAGCAGCAGCAGCAGCAGCAGAATGAGAGGGACGAGACGGAAGTCTGGTCTGCACTGCTTAGTATCTTACACGGGGTACCTTGTCTCCTCCTGTTGTTGCTGCTGCTGCTGTTGCTGCTGCTACTGCTGCTACTGCTGCTACTGCTGCTGCTGTTGCTCTCCTTGCTTCATTAAGCCTTATAGGTGTATCTGTCTCCTGCTGCTGTTTGCTGCTGCTGCAGCGTACACCCACACTAGGCGGCAGCAGCAGAGAAGAACTGCTGCAGCAGCTCGAGGCATTCTTAGGTCGCCCGTTGCCTTCGGTGTTGGAGCAGCAGCGGCAGCAGCAGATGTTAATGCAGCAGCAGCAGGAGCAGCAGCAGCAACAGCAGATGCAGCAGCAGATGCAGCAGCAGGCCATGTACAACTACAATATGCAGCAGCAGCAGCAGCAGCAGCAAAGATACATGGACGGAATGGGGGCTTACCCCAACTACCCAATGACAAATGGCACATCTGCGCCGCAGCAGCAGCAGCTGCAGCAGGAGCAGCAGCAAGCACCTGCCTTATCTGCAGTTGACCCCGAGAGTAAGTATAGGGAAACCCCTTCTAGCTAGCCAGCTACTAGCTAGCTAGCTGGCTAGCTAGCTAGCTAGCTAGCTGCTAGGCAGTATAAGTAGTAGCTCATTATGCTGCTGCTGCTGCTGTTGTTGTTAATGCTGCTGCTGTTGTTAATGCTGCTGCTGCTGTGCAGAATTCTTCTCCCAGCTCGGGGGAGCCGAAGAAAGAGAGGTATCTAAGGAGCAGCAGCAGCAGCAACAGCAGCAATTGGAGCAGCAGGAGCAGCTGGATGAAGAGGGGCAGAAGCAGGCGTGGGCAGAGGCTGCACAGCAGCAGCAGCAACAGGAGCAGCAGCAGGAGCAGCAGCAAAAGGAGCAGGCCCGTAGAAGCAAGAAGGGATCCTCTCAGCTTGGTGATATTGACTGGAGTGAGCTGCTGCTGCTGTTGCTGCTTCTGCTGCTGCTGCTGCTGCTGTCCCCGTCGCTGCTGTTTTGTTGCTTCCTTTGCTGCTGCTGTGGATGATGAACTCTAAACCAACGGCAGCAGCAGAAGCAGCAGCAACAGCAGCAAAGTATTTGTGTGTCTGTCTTCTTGCTGCTGCAGCTGTTGCTCCCTTCCCGCTGCTGCGGGAGTGTCTCCTTGGTGGCTGTGTAGAGGGGGCAGTAGAGTTGCTCAAGGAGGCGGGCAGCCTAAGCGATGCGCTGCTGCTGGCAGGTGCAGCAGCAGCAGCAGCACCCGCGTCACCTCAGACGCAGCAGCAGCAGCAGCAGCAGCAAGGAAGCGGTGGCTGTCTTGCAGAAGCAGCAGAAGGACAAGGACCGGCCATCTGGCGTGCTGCTGCTGAGGTGTATGTACACAACATGAAGGATGAATTCTTCAAGGTGCGGATTCACCACCTGCAGCAGCAGCAACAGCAGCAGCAACAGCAAGAGCAGCAGCTTTGGTTTTTTCTCGTTGTTCGGCATTCCTTTTGTCCCCGTCACTGTTGCCTCTCTCTCTCCCTACAATTCTCTGATGCCCTGTTGCTGCTGCGTCTGTGCTGCTGCTGCTGCTGCTGCTGCTGCTGCTGCAGTTGTTTGGGTATGCAGTACTGGATAGTTTGGATAATTTAGTGAATCAGCTGCCTTTATCTTCTTGGCGGGAGGGTTTACGATTATTAGGAAGTTATGCAAAAGATAAAGATATTTATTATCGTCTTACAAGTACGCTAAACCCTAAACCCTAAACCCTAAACCCTAATTTATATCATTGTCTTCCTTACACCACAAGGATTCTTTTAAGGTATGATGAGTCGCCTTTTTCTTCAACCCCTGGTTGTTTGTGTTGCGCTGCTGCTGCTTTGCTGCTGCTGCTGCTGCTGCTGCTGTTGCTGCTGCTGCTGCAGGACAATTAGGGGAGAGACTATCAAGAGCAGGAGACCTAAAGGGGGCCCTCTTCTGCTTTATAGCAGCAAGAGACTTCCCTTCTGCATGCAGCATATGGCTGCAGCAGCTGCAGCAAGGGACATCTGCACGCCGCCTCAGCAGCAGCAGCACCAGCAGCAGCAGCAGCTACTTTTCTCAGCAGCTACTTAATACCATACAAAAGATGCTCGTATTCAGAGCAGCAGCAGACTACCAGGCTCGGTGCCCTGCCTTCGAGAGGGTGGCACTGTAAGACCCTTGCTGCTGCTGCTGCTGTTGTTGTTGTTGCTGCTGCTGTTGTTGCTGCTGAGCAATGCTGCTGTGGGAGGTTTTGTAGCAGCTGCAGCTGCTGTTGCTGTGCATTGCGGCTGCTGGTTTGCTGTTGCTGCTGCTGCTGCTGCCTTTTGTGGAGTATTGCTGCTGGCATGCATCATTTGTTTTTGCTGCTGCTGCTGTTTGTGTTGCTGCTGCTGCTGCTGCAGTGCATACGCGGACGAGGCGAACAATCTGTCATGCGGATCATGCGCGATGTTGGTGCTGCGACTATACTTGAACGTTGGTAGCAGCAGCAGCGCAGCAGCAGCTGCAGCAGCAGCAGCAGCAGAGGGGGTGCAGCAGCAGCTAGAGGCGTCGCTGCAGGCAGCTGCCTTCGAGCTAGCTATGCGGCTGTACTACAACAACCCCACCGCTATGCAGCGAGCAGGCTTCACCCCTCCGCAGATGCCTGCTAAGGCTGCGGTGCAGCAGCAGCAGCAGCAGCGGCAGCAGCAGCAGCAGCAGCAACGGCAGCCAGTGAGGCCGATGATGCCAAGCCAGCAGCCAATGCAGCAACAGCAGCAACCTGGCTTCCAACCGCAGCAGCAGCAGAGGTTCCCTCCGGCGTTCCCTCCCCAACAGCAGCAGCAGCCTCCACAGCTGCAGCAGCAGCAGCAAAGACAGCAGCCGCAGCAGCAACAATTCGGTGGAGTCCAGCCACCTCGGCAGCTGTCAGTTACAGGGGCCCCCATGCCCCCTAGTGTTGGTCCTCCCCTCCAGGGGGGCCCCCCTCCCCCAAAGACAGGCCCCCAGGGGCCCCTCTCAAATGGTAAGAGATTCTTGCTGCTGCAGTGTCTGTGCTGCAGCAGCAGCAGCAACAGCAGCAGCAGCAGTAAAAAGAGTAATGCTTCCTTTAATCTATAATCCTTTTTGTTGTTTCCTTGTGTCTGCTTCGTGCAGGTCCACCGCCGCTGCAGCAACAGCAACAGCAGCAGCAACTGCAGCAGCAGCAGCGGAGCGCATTCCCTCAGAATTCTGCTGCTGCTACTGATGGGCCATCAGCAGGTTTAATGAATTCTGTGTCTCCCTTCATGCGCCCTGGTGGTGCTCCTCCCCCTCCCCCTGCTGCTGCTGCTGCTGCAGGACCTGCAGCAGCAGGAGGCAGCAGCAGTGGCAGCGTGTTGCGTCCTGCTGCTTCTCCTCCTCTTGGACCTTATGGGGGCCTCCAGTCAGCAGCAAACCCTCCTGCTGCTGCCAGTACCTTCTCCAATGCAGGGGGCCCCCCTATGCCTCCAACAACCAATACCTTGGGTGGAGCACCAGGATCGGGGGCCCCCCATCCAGGTCCTACCCCTCCTGTCCCCCCGTCTGCAGGGGGCCCCCCAGGTGCCCTACCCCCAGCTGGGGGCCCCCCTACAGGGGGCCCCCCAGGGGTCAACCCTCTAGGGGAGGGACCAATTAGTCCCCCTCCTTATAGTGCCCCTACTGTTGGGGCCCAACCAGTAAAGAGAGGAATGCCTGTACCTTGGCCTATACCTACTGCAGCACAATTAGTAAGCCAATTAACTAATTAATTAAGGACTAATAGGACAGCAGCAGCAGCAGCAGCAGCAGCAACACCAGCAGCAGCAGCAACAGCAGCAGCAGCAGCAGCAGCAGCAGCAGCAGGAGTGTGTGGTGTATATGCAGAACCAGAGAGCAACAAGAAGTACATATGCAGCAAACTTAGGCATCAATAAAGCATCAGAGAAAGGGACTGATGGTACTACCTTACCTCCTGATCAGCAGGTACTCTTGCTGCTGCTGCTGCTGCTGCTGCTGCTGCTGTTGCTGCTTCTGGTGCTGGTGCTTGTGCTGCTGCTGGTGCTGGTGCTGGTACAGGTGGTTATTTAGATTATACTGCTGCTATTGCTGCTGTTGCTGCTGCTGCTGCCGGCGCAAATTGCTGTTGTACGTGTGCTTGCTGCTGTCAACTTTTTCCTTACACTTGCTGCTGCTGCTGCTGCACTTGCTGCTGCTGCTGCTGCTGCTGCAGGCATTTGTTGAGGGCGTATTGAATAATTTAGTGCAGCAGCAGCAGGGCCCAACAGCACAAGATCTATCAACAAAAGTAAATGATCTTATTGTTAAGGTACGTCCTAGGGTTTAGGGTTTAGGGTTTAGGGTTTAGGGTTTAGGGTTTAGGGTTTAGTATATCTTCTGTATGGGGTATTTTTTTGTGCGGCGTTTCTCATGTGTTATGTGCTGCTGTTGCTGCTGCTGCTGCTGCTGCTGCTGCTGCTGCAGCTACAACAAGGAGAATTAAGCGCAACAGGATGCGAGAAGATTGTAGGGTTTTGTGCAGCAATTAACAACGGAGACACCGCGCAGGCACAGCGCATGCATGCAGAATTATCTGCTACTGAATGGCATGCATCTAATCGATCATGGTAGGGTTTAGGGTTTAGGGTTTAGGGTTTAGGGTTTACGTTGTTTTTTTTTTTTTTTCCTTTATTATTTTGTTTGTTTTTATTTATTCTTTATTTCTTTTGTTTATTTATTATTTATTTATTTATTTAATTTATTTATTTATTTATTTATTTATTTATTTATTTATTTATTTATTTATTTTATTTATTTATTTATTTATTTGTTTTTTTAGGTTAATGGGCCTCAAGCGTTTAATTCCTAAGCCGTAAAGATAACGGCAGCAGCAGCAGAAGCAGCAGCAGCAGCAGCAACTGCTGCTGCTGCTGCTGCAACAACAGCAGCAAAGTGCAGAAAATGCCTTGCTGTATATATGGTGTGCTGCTTCCTTGTAAGAGCTGCAGCTGCAGCAGCGTCAACAGCAACAACTGCAGCAACAGCTGCAGCAGCAGCAGCAGCAGCAGCTCTGTCGCCTTATAGTAATAACGCGAGATACACAGAGCAGCAGCTAACACATTCGTTAGCAGCAAAGGCAGCAGCAGCAGCAGCAGCAGCAGCAAGCTGAGCAGGTGCCAAGAGACACCTCCATATGCACTAAGCAGCAGCTACTGCAGCAACAATTTGCTGCTGCAGCAACATTTGCTGCTGCAGCAAGAACTTTGCTGCAGCAGGAGACACAACTCCTCGTTACATTGTTTGTTCATAAGCTTTGCATGCAATATGCAGCTGCATATAGGCAGCAGCAGCAGCAGCAGCATCTGCTGCTGCTTCTTCTGCTTGCAGCGCGCTGTTATGTTATTGTTGTAGCTATAGTTGCTAGGACCAGCAGCAGCAACAACGGCAACAGCAGCAGCAGCAACAACAGCAGCAGCAGCAGCAACAATTAACAGTTGGTTGGAGTTGTTATCGTTTAGATTTCAGCTTTATTATCCTTAAGCTTACTCGACCCTCGCAGCAGCAGCAACAGCAGCAGCAACAGCAGCAGCAACAGCAGCAGCAACAGCAGCTGCAACAGGAACACGATTAGCAGTAGCAGCAGCAGAAGCAGTTTGTTGTATAGTATAAAACAGCCAGAGAAACAAAATAATTAAACAGCAAAGAATTAAGGACGAAGCACAACAGTCGAAGTGCTGCTGCTGCTGCTGCTGCTGCTGCTGCTGCTAGGGAGCAGCAGCAGCAGGAGTTGGCTGCAGCAATTGCTGCTGTAGTAACAGTGGCATGCAGCAGGCGGGTATTATGGGTATCCTCCCCTCTTCTCTTATTATTTATTTTAATTAATATATAAATAAGGAAGATCTTTAATTATTTTAATATAAATTAGACAGAAAAGAGCAGCAGCAGCTGCTGCAGCAACAGCAGCAACAGCAGCAAAAGCAGCAGCAGCGGCGACAGAGGCGGCAGCGGCGCTAGTAACAGAGAGAGCCAATAGGGGTAACAGAGGGGTTAATAAGTGCTGCCTTCTTCTTATTATTTTATTTATTTATTTATTTATTTTATTTATTTATAATTAAAATAAATAATTTATTTATTTGCTGCTGCATATGCTGCTAAAGAAGAGGGGATTTGCTGCAGCAGAACCGCGGCAGCAGTCGGCAGCGCTGCCAGCAACAGCAGCAGCAGCAGCAGGCAACAGCAGCAACAGCAAGAGTAGCAGCAGCAACAGCAAGAGTAGCAGCAGCAACAGCAAGCCGTGCTGCAGCAACAGAAGCAAATAAACTTCCTCCTCCTTTCCTTTATTTTTATTTTCCTTCTTATTAGTATAGTATTTGCTGCTGCTAAAGGCAGCAGCAGCAGCACCATGCTGCAGCAGGGGGGCCCCGGCTCATCATCATCGCCTTCGAAGAGGCGGAAGCAGCAGCAGCAGCAGCAACAGCAACAGCAGCAACTGCAGCAACAGCAGCAGAAGCAGCAGCAGCAGCAACAGCGCACATCTCTGCGAGCAGCAAAACTCCGGAGGCCTCTTAGGGGTGTGACATCCCCATCTCGCCCCCCGACCCTAGCAGCAGCAGCAGCAGCAGCAGCAGCACCTGTAGCTGCAACAGCAGCAGCAGCAGCGCCACTAGCAGCACAAGTAGCAGCTGTAACAGCAGCAGCAGCAGCAGCAGCAGCGAACTGCTCCACAGAAACACGTCCCCGTCTAGCTGCTGCCTCCCTGGTGTCTGTACACCAGACTGCTGCAGCAAAGAAACGCAAAACGGCTGCATGCAGCAGCAAAGAGGATTTATCTGCAGCAGAAGACAGAACAAGTATACGCCCCCGCAGCGCCACGCAGCAGCAGCAGCAGCAGCAGCAGCAGAAGCAACCAAAGTATAAGTTGCAACAGCAGTACCTGCAGCAGCAGCGGAAGAAGCAGCAGCAGAGGCAGCACCAGCAGCAGCAGCGGCACCCCCATGCAGCACCCGTACGGTCAGCATGCAAGGAGGCCTCTAAGGGGCCCCCCCGCGGTGCCCCCATAGCAACCGCCTCACGGGGGGCCCCCAAGGAGGCCCCCATGGGGGCCCCCCGTGAGGGTACCTCCCTTGGGGGCCCCCCGTATTTAGAGATTTTAAAGGCAGCAAAGCCTGGGATTGCTGACGAGGTGGTGCTGCAGCAAGAGCAGCAAGGCCCAGCAGCAGCAGCAGCAGCAGCAGCAGCAGCAGCAGAAGTAGCAGTAACATTGGCAGAAGTAGCAGATGCAGCAGCAGAGGGATGTTTGATGTCTTCCCCTCCATCACCACTTCTTAGCGAAGACGCAGACAGGCCAGCAGCAGCAGCAGCAGAAGCAGCAGCAGCAGAAGCAGCAGCAGCAGCAGCAGGGGAAGGGCCTATTTATGCGGAGGAGGAGACACTAGCAGATTGTCTCCTCTGTGCATGCATTGACCCTCTAACAGACCAACCAGCAGCAGCAGCAGCAGCAACAGCAACAGCAGCAGCACCACCACCATCATTCCCAGCAGCAACAGACGCCTTATGCAGCAGCAGCAGCACCACCACCACTACCGCTGCAAACAGCAACAGCAGCAGCAACAGCAGCAGCAGCAAGTGCAGCAGGTCTATGAGCTGTCTCCCTAGTCTAGAGGATATTCATACAGGTCTAACTCCTTCTCCTTCTCAGCAGCACATTGGGGGGCCCCCCTTGGGCCCCACAGAGGGGCCCCTAGGGGTCCCCAACTCCTACTGGGCCTCTCAAGGCAGCAGCAGCAGCAGCAGCAGCAGAGTTTGTGGGTGTGTTGCTTCCCGCTGCTGCAGCAGCTGCTGGACAGGGTGTGGGGAGCTGCCGTGGGGCAGCAGCAGCACAGGGAGACAATCTACTACTTCTTTATGTAGCTGTAGCTCCCTTGCCAGTCTTGCTGCTGCTGCTGCTCCTCCATCAGCAGCAGCAGCAGCAGCAGGGTTCAATGCTGCTCCTGCTGCTGCTGCAGCAGTTGCTGCTGCTGGCCAGAGACGCGTGCTGCAGCAGGTATCCCTTATATTACGCAGCAACACCTCTCTTGCTGCAGCATCTACCGCCCTGCTGCAGAGAAGCAAACGCTGCGTTGCTGCAGCAGCAGCTGCTGCTGCTGCTGCTGGTGCAACCCCACAGAAGACAAGGGCCCCCCCAAAGGGGAGAGGAGGCCCTCATACACCTCCTACCAGCAGCAGCAGCAGCAGCAGCAGCAGGAAATGCAAAGCCAGGAGGCAAAGTAGCACGGGGACCTCTACAGCGACGCCAACAAAGAGGAATAGAGTTGCTGCTGCTCCCTGCAGCAGCAGCATTGGCAGCAGCAGCAGCAGCAGCAAGAGCAGCTCTCGCATACGAGGTAAAGCAGCAGCAGCAGCAGCAGCAGAGGCAGCAGCCGCAGAGGCAGCAGCAGCAGCTATCCGCAGCGCTACAACATCTGCACGTAAACAGAGACGACTGCAGCAGCAGCAGCAGCAGCAGCACGCAGAACTTGAGCGTTTGCTGCTAAACCTGCAGCAAGAAGAAACAAGAGATTGGTCAGTCATAAAGAAAAATCAATTGCTGCTGCAGCAGATCAGTTGCTGCAGCAGCAGCAGATCAGTTGCTGCAGCAGCAGCTGATCATTTGCTGCTGCTGCAGCAAATACTCTGCTGCTGCAGCAAATATACTGTTGCTGCAGCAGAAAGTTGCTGCAGCAGCAGCATATTCGCTGCTGCTGCAGCACATATATCATCCACCACATAAGTAGCAGCCATGGAATAGAAGCCACCCTAGCAGCACCAGCAACAACAGCAGCAGCAGCAACAGCAGCAACTGCAGCAGCAGCAGCAGCAGTTGGTGTAGTAGCTGTTCATAAGTAGCTGATGCTGTAGCAAATACTGCACAAGCAGCACAAAGCCATGCATGCGCACCCTGCAGCAGCAGCAAAGGCTGCTGCTGCAGGTGCTGCTGCTACTGTTACTCCCTGGTATTGCAGCTGCCGCTGCAGATGCAGCTGCTGCAGAATTTGTTGCTGCAGCAGCTGCTGCTGAATTTGTTGCTGCTGCAGCTGCAACAATACCAATAGTAGAGGGGGGAGGGGCCCCCCCCCCACTGTGGGGCCCCCCCAACAAATATTTTTGTCATTTTAATTTCTTCCTTTAGTTATAAAAAACGCCATATACGATATCTGCTGCTGTTGCTGCTGCTGCTGCTGCTGCTGCTGCTGCCTCACCTATCTAGCCCCACCTAGCTAGCTAAATAGGTAGCTAGCTAGCTAGCCAGCTCGCTAGCTGTATTAAGGCAGATTAACTTGTACAAGACAATTCCCCATCTATCCAGCCGACTACTGAGCTAGCTAGCTAGCCAGCTAGCTAGCTAGCTAGCTCAAGGTAGGTCAACCTGAGCAAGACATAGATAATTTCCCTCCTGTAGTTGATTGATTACTATCCATTAATCCATCTAGCTAGCTAGCTAGGTAGGTAGCTAGGTAGCTAGCTAGCCACCTTAAGGTAGATTGACCTGAGCAAGACATAGATAATTATGATTATTATTTTGTCCTTGTTGTATATGTTGAATTGAATTGATAAATAGCTAGCTAGCTAGCCACCTTAAGGCAGGTCAACCTGAGCAAGACATAGATAATTATTATTATTATTATTATTATAATTATTATTATTATATTGTTGCTGCTGCTGCTGCTGCTGCTGCTGCTGCTGCTGCTGCTGCTGCTGTTGAATTGAATTGAATTGTATGGATGAGATTTTGATTTTACCAAAATCAAATCCTCTCATATCTAATAATAATTTACGACCATCAAATCCACCACCTCTACCCTTTCTTTTTTTTTTCTGCTGCTGCTGCTGCTGCTGCTGCTGCTGTTGCTGTTGCTGCTGTTGCTGCTGTTGCTGTTGCTGCTCTTGTTGTTGTTGATGCTGCTGTTGATCCTGTTTATCTTGAGCTCTTATACGATTAGTCTCCTTTAATAATGTCATATGATATATTGGACAGAAATATCCTTGTGTATTAATAAGACATAATTTTCTTAGACATTCTTTTCTTAATAAATTATTCTTTATGAATAAATCTATTAATAATTCACCTATTTTATTCAATTTATCTGTTGTTTCTTTTAATACTTCTGCTCCCTCACTGCAATAACAGCAACAGCAGCAACAGCAGCAGAAGCAGCACCAGAAGCAGCAGCAGATGTAGCAGCAGCATATAAACACTAATCCATACGCATACACACCAAATACTCCCTTACCTAAACCCTAAACCCTAAACCCTAAACCCTAAACCCTAAAGGATTGTAAATGTATACATACCTTGCATATAGAGGAGCATATACAACAGATACATGAGAAGGATCATCAGTAAAACAATTATTTCCTTTTATATGCAATACTAGGGATTGGGTACCTAGGGCATCATATATATCTGCTGCTGCTTCCTTGAATATTTTTGCTGCTGCTGCTGCTTCTGCTTCTGTATATAATTGTAATAATAATAATGTTATATGTAATTTATCCGGGTGTACAAACAGCTCATTATCTATACCTGGATAATTAGATGCTAATACAAGGTGCCTATACACCTCATATCTCTCCTTTAATTTAGGTGTACAGACAGGTAACGATATAAAATGAGTAACAGGCATATATTCTCTTTCTTTTGTTGCTCTTTCTTGTATCTTTTTTATACATAAACAAATACGTCTCTCTGTTGGGCCACATAGATAAATCACTCTCTCTCCTCCTCCTCTTGCTGCTGCTGCTGCTTGCTGCTGCTCCACGTTCTGCGGTTTCTCTTCTCTTACACCTAAACTTGTTATCAACTTCCGCAAAGGGCCCCCAAACGGGGCCCCTCGAGGGCCAACAGAGGGGCCCCTACTTGTTAATCGACGGTATACAACTGTAGGCAGACGCACCTCTGCTCTCCATTTGTTCTCTTCTTCTTTTTTTGCTGCACACTCAGCTATAAATTCTGCTGCTAATTCCTCCTCTTGCTGCTGTATCTCTTCTTCTGTTAATAATATACTATCTTCTGCCATTTTTCCTTTATTACTTATTCCCTCTTCTCCTTCTTCTTCTCCTTCTTCTTCTCCTTCTTCTTCTGTATAATATTCGTCTGTAGAGAAACAACTAACAGATATATCGCTTTCTTCCCTCCATCCCTCTCTCTGCTGCTTCCTGTGCTGCTCCTCCAGCAGATCCTGCTCCTCGTCTCCTGCTGCAGCAGCAGACGATCTGCCTGATCCCTCGTCCAATAATGCCTCGTATGCCTCTTTATCCCATTCCGCACGATTTAGGGGGGCAGCAGCAGCAGGAAGACGCAGCACGCGGTAATTTACGCCGCTTATATTATGACGATGGTACTGCGGCCTCTCCAGGCATGATGGGATACGTTTTGCAACTTTGCTTCCGTGTGGAGGCATAAGTGAAGAGCAAAAAGAAGAAGAATGAGGGAAGATAAGGGTCTTATAAGGGCCCAACTGCTGCTGCTGTTGCTGCAATGGACTTGAAGAACGCAACCACAAAAAAAGAGAGAAATGACGCAATATGATCATTCAATGCACTTTCATTAAAACATAACAACACACTACAGACAAAATAAACATAATGTGTTTAATAAAGCAAGCAGTAAGAGTTACAATCGCCAAAAAAGTGAAACAAACAAACCAGGAGGGAGGGGAAGCGGGAAGAAGAGTCCAGCCAGCCCCGACCAACCGAGCCTTAGTGTACATGAATCAACACAAAGAAAAATCAAAAAATAAAAGGATAAACACATTAAATTGAGTCAAAAGAAAACAATTTGTTCATATTGCTGTCTGTAATTGGTGAATTACCCACTAACTCTTCGAGTGTATAGGCAGATGGCAGTACCTCTGCCGACGAGGGGTATTCAATGAAGAAACCGCGCAATGTTTTAAAGGAAAAAGCATTCTTCTTTGTGAATAATCTCTAAATAAATAAAAATAACTCAAAAAGAGCATGAATATTCCTATTCATGGTCGTGGTTCCTTGTCTCGTATACAAGCAGACAAGGAAGATGAAATCGCCCGATACGGCGTTAAAATACTACATCTTCGGCGATCTTGCGAATCTGTAGGATAATTATTAGTACCTTTATTCATTTTCCCTCTTTTCCCCCAAAATTATTCATAAATTCACAGACAAAACGTGATTTGCAACATGCAAAGATAGGCAGCGCTCTTGCACAAGCACAGTTGATGACAAAGAAAGCAGAAACAGCGAGGCTAAAGCTGGAGGTTTCCGAGTTATCATTAGAGAAATCAATTCTTTTAGAAGGTAAATAATTAATTATTACACTTTTTATTCCTTTTTAAGGTATTTTTCCTTCGCTTTCCCTCGATGTAGGTAGTGTGCATGTATGTATAATACAAGTTCATAAGTTAAGACTTGTGAATAGATATTATGTAATATAACAACAGAGCTAAATAGAATAAGGACTACTCGTAAAAGAGCAGAGGAAGGGTTCGCAGAACAAACAAAGTAATTTATTTGGTTATTTATTTGTTTATTGTTTTCTTATCTTTGTATTTATCTATTCATTCCCTCCTTTCCTGCTGTACGTCTGTAGACGTCTTAGATCCTTGGCTATATCTCTCCGTCAGCAACTAAAAGAAAGAGAAGAGTAAGTGTTTCTTCTATATATTTATTTTTATTTAATTATAAATAACAGCAAATAAATAAATAAATTTCTTCTTAGCTTCTATGCAGCAACACCGTTAGGGAAGTCGCTGCAGCAGAAAAAGTAAGAAGAAAGCAAAAGAGACGAGCAGCAGCAAGCAGCATTTATCTGCTTCCTTTACAGAGAAAGAGTGCAGCAACTTGAGCAGCAGCTTGCTGCTGCTACAGCAGAAGAAAATGCATGCATAGCAGCAAAGGAAGTATGCCAGCCTACTCCCCCCTGTATTCCTTTTCTATTGCTTTATTTATTTGCTGCTGTCTAAACAACTTTGCTGCTGCTTAATCAACAGGCTGCAGCAAAAGAATTCGCCATAGAAAAAGAATTACTAAGAAAACATCAGCAAACCCTCAAGGAGACACAACTCAATAATGCACGTGCTAAGCAGCAGCAGCAAACAAATTGGCAGCTGCAACAGCAGCAGCAGCAACTGCAGCAGCAACAGCAGCAGCAACTGCAACACCCACACCAACAGGCGCAACTGCAGCAGCAACCGCAGCAGCAACTGCAGCAGCAACTGCAACACCCACACCAACAGGCGCTGCAGCAGCAACAACTCCAGCAGCAACTGCAGCAGCAACTACAGAACCCACATCAACAGCAACAACAGCAGCAGCAGCAACAGCAGCAGCACCAGCAGCAGCAGCAGCAGCACCAATGGCTGCAGCAGCGCTGGCAGCCCCACCTGCAAATGCCAAGCTGCAGAAGCAACACATTTGCAGCAAACAATCCTCATTGCCCCCTCTCTCGAGGACAAACCGTTTGGGCTGCTGATGGAGTGTCTGCTTCCTGCGGCCAAGGATTGCCAGCTGCTGCTCCTGCTGCTGCTGCTCCTGCTGCTGGTGCTGCTGCAGGCACTGCAGCACAGCAATGGAACGTTGTGCATGCAGTATATGATCCTTCAACTTACTCTGTAGTCGCCAACAACAGCAACGCGAGCTATGGCAACCAGCAGCAATTCTTGCAGCAGCAACAGCAGCACCAATACCATCAGCAGCAGCAACGACAGCAACAGCAGCAGCTGCAGCTGCAGCAACACTACCAGCAGCAGCAACAGCTGCCGCGCCACATGCAGTGCCCCCCTATTGGTGGTGTGCATTTTCAGAGAGCCTCGAATCTGCTGCAGCAGCAGATGCAGCACCAGCAGCAGCAGCAGATGCAGCACTACCCACAGCAGCAGCAGCAGCAGCATGATTCCTTTTACTTAGATAGTTCTGCTAGTGCTGCACAGCTGCAAGCGCTGCAGGAGTTAGCGACGGATCTTGAGGATGCAGAGGGGGCATTGCGCTCCGATCAGCCTCCTGCTGCTGCTGCTGCTGCTGCTGGAGGGCCCTTCTTTGGCTTCCCTGATGCTGGTGCCCATGGGGCTGCTGCTGCTGCTGCTGCTACTGCGCCGTCGGGGGCAACGAAGCGAACCAGGCAGCCATCGAAGACAGCAACCACGCGGAGGAGGGGTGCAGCAAAAGCAGCAATCTCTAGCCGTACGAGAGCAGCAGAGCAGCAGCACCTGCAGCAAACGGTGTTGCAGCAGCTGCAGCAAGCGGCGCAGCAGCAGGTGCAGCAAGAGGCGCAGCAGCAGCGAGAATTTGGCGTTGCATGCGTTGCAGGCATTTCTCCCCTTGATGCAGCAAGAACAAGAGCAGCAACAGCAATGCCAACAGAAGCAGCAGCAACTAAACCAGCAGCAGCAAATAGAGCAGCGCCAACAGCAGCAGCAGCAGCGACAACAGCAGCAGCAGCAGCAGTTGACGTTTCAATGATGGAGCCAAGTGAACTACGGGAGCTCTATTTGCTGCAGGTGTGTCTTCTTATCATTTATTTATTTATTTATTTATTTATTTATTATTTACTTATTTATTTATTTATTTATAATTTATATATTTATAATTTATTTATTTATTGTTGTATTTTATCTCTCTTAGAGGAAGAAAGCAGGAGGAAACCTTGGAGAGATTAAGGAACTCAGCAGCAGCAGCAACAGGAGAAGCAAAAGCAACAGCAGCAACATAAGCAGCAGCAGCAACAGCAGCAGCAAAACAAGGGATGATTGCATGCAGTTAAGACTTCCTATGCAGCGGCGCAGCAGCAAGACACTACATATTTAGATCAGGGAGGCAGCAGCGCCTTCTTGAGGGTATTCGTCCTTTCTTGCTGCTGCTGCTGCAGAAGCTCCTGCTTCTGCTGCAGCAGCAGCAGCTGCAGCAGCAGCAGCAACTACACACCGTAGCTGCACACTCATTGCTGAGGCTGGAAGCCGTCAGCAAGGCAAAGCACCAACAGCTGCAGCAACAGCAGCAGCAACTGCTGCTGTTGCTGCAGCTGTTGCTGCTGTTGCTGCTCTTTTAGCCTAAAAGGGTCTTTTTTATTTCCTTTTATTCCCTTTCCCTCTCTTTTTTCCTCCCTTTTCCTTCTTTCTCTTTTTCCTTTTCTCTCACTGTATGCCTCTCTATCCATATACATATTTATTTATTTATTTATTTATTTATTTATTTATTTATTTATTTTATTTATTTATATTGATATAGTTATGTAAATATTTAGAAAGATTAATGATGCAAATAAACAAAGAAAGTCTCAGAGGATAACCAGGCACACACACTGTATGCATGCAACAGCAGCAGCGGCACCGCAGCAGCAGCACCGCAGCAGCAGCACCGCAGCAGCAGCAGCAGCAGTGTGTACCCTCGTCTTTGCTGCATTGAGCATCAATTTAAACTACAAAGAGGAGTTTGCTGCCTCAGCAGCAGCACTGCAGGAGCAGCAGCAACAGTACTGCAGCAGCAGCAGGAGAACTGTGTTTATGTTGCTGCAGGGAATAGAGGAACATAATGGTTCTCCCTACCTGTAGGGGGGCCCCCCATGAGGGGCCCCTCTGCATTAGTAAAGAGGAGATGGAGGGGTTCTTCTGTACACCCTTCCCTCCAACCAAATACCTTACATAAATGTAAATATAATACTTGCTGCTGCTGCTGCTGCTGCTGCTGCTGGGGATGCTGCTGTTGCTGCAATAGGCGCAAGATGCGCTGCTGCTGCTGTCTTTGTTCTTGCATGCTTATGGACATAGTGAATGCACCATCAGCTGCTTCTCCTGCTGTTAGCTGCTGCTGCTGCTGTTGTTGTTGTTGTTGTTGTTGTTGTTGTTGTTGTTGTTGCTGCTGCAGTGTATATACAGCTATAGGACGTCGTAATGCATGCGCTAATGCAACAATCTCTGGTCCTCCTCCCCACACAGTTTGCATGCGCATGCAGCGGCAATATTCTTGGGGCTGGCAATTATATTGCTGCGCTGCTAACAGCAGCAAATCTTTTCTTTTTATTTTCTCTTCTCCCTCTAATATTAACCATTCTATTGATTCATCCTCTAGTGTATCCACAGCTAACTGCAGCAGCAGCAGCAACAGCAGCAGCAACAGCAGCAGCAACAAATGCAGCAACAGCAGAAAATGCAGCAACGAAAGGAAAAAATAAAATAATACAACATCTGGGCTCCCATCATGGTCAGAGCTATGGGGCCCCCTATTAGGGCCCCCCTCTCCCATTTCGGGGGGCCCCCCTATTGGGGGCCCCTCTAACGGGTAGGGCCCCCAAATAAGGGTACAATAATAATTACCTGCCTTAGATGAGTAGATGTATCTCTTATTTCTTGCTGATAAAAAGGAGGATGGAGACCAAAAAGAAGAAAAAAAAGAGAAGAAGCAACAGATACAAATAAACAATCACCTGCACCAGGACTCTGCAGCAAACAGCAGCAGCAGCAACAGCAGCAGCAGCAGCAGCAATGATGGTGGTGATGCTGCTGCAGTAGCAAAAGCAGCTGCACCAAGAGCAGCAGCAAAAGCAGCAGCAGCAGCAAAAGCAACAGCCGAAGGGGAGGAGGAGAAAGAGGAGGAGCCATTGATACAAGAAACAGCATTAGATGCAGCAGCAGCAGCAGCAGCAGCAGCAGCAGCAGCTCTTGCTGCTGGTATACCACCATTCTTCTTACTTGTCTAGCTCTTAAGAAATAAGGAAAATTCCTTAGACATAACTTAACAGGGGCCCCATCAGGAAGGGGGGCCCCCGAGGAGGAGGGGCTCCCTGAGGGTACAGGGGCCCCCCTATCCCCTTGCTCTATTCCCTGCAGCAAATGGTGCAGCACGTAAGCCTCAGCAGCAGCACATGCTTCTGCTTCCTCCATTCCTGATGTATCGCTGCTGCTGCTTATTTTGCTGCTTATATTGCTGATGCTGCTGCTGCTGTTGCTGCTGCTGTTGCTGCTGCTGGTGCCGTTGCTGTTGCTGCTGTTGCTGTTGCTGCTGGTGCTGTTGCCGTTGCTGCTGGTGCTGTTGCCGTTGCTGCTGGTGCTGTTGCTGGTGCTTGTGTTGCTGCTGCTGTTTGTGCTGCTGCTGCTGCTGCTGTTGCTGCTGCACTGTCTTCTTAATATATTATTCTTAATAAGGGAATGGCAAAGAGTTGCTGTTAGCAGCAAAAGAAGAAAAGAAGAAAAAAATAATTTTATATAAAAAGAATTATTTAGACATACTTTAAGGGGGAGAGGGGCCCCCCCTGGGGGCCCCCCACTTTGTACCCTATCACGTCTATCTATAGGGGGGCCCTTCAACACATGGGGGCCCCAATATCTAGGAGAAAGGACCGAAGCAGCACTCAGTCGGCGCTGCTGCTGTTGTTGCTGCAGCTGCTGCTGCGGCAGATGGTGCTGCTGCAGCTGCTGCAGCTGCTGCTGAGCGGTAATGAGGAACCTGGGGGAGAGGCGTATTTGTGTTGATGCTGCTGCTGAGGTGTTAAGGAGAAAAAGTAAAGAAGACAGCAGCAGAGAAGGCCTCCACACCCTCATATGCAGCGCAGCAGCAGCAGCAGCAGCAGCAGCAGACAGGAGGTTTGCTGGCAGCACCAGGGGAGAAGCAAAGAGGAGAGAAGAAAGAGAAATAATAATGATAAAGAATAGTATAAAGGAAATAATAAACTTATTATATGTAATATAAGCATATAATACCTAGGGGGGCCCCTGCACATAAGGGTACGGGGGCCCCCCTTTGCGTCGCAGTCGGCTATAGAGGAGGGTACGGGGGCCCCTGTACCCCTTTCTTCTCCCTAGATGTTTTTCTTGTTTTGTTTCTTAATGTTTACTTTTTATTTAACTATTTAAATAAATATAAACAGCAGAAGACTATATACAAAGGCTGCTGCTGCTGTGGCAGCAGCTGCTGCTACTGCTGCTGCTGCTGCTGCGACGACGGCCGACTGCCCGAGAGCGAGGAGGCAACAGCAGCAGCAGCAGCAGCAACAGCAGCAGAAACTGCTGCAGAATACAAGCAGTTGCTGCAGCAGCAGTAGTAGAGCCCATACGAGCACAACAGCAGGAGCAACGAGCAGCAGCAGCAGCAGCAGCAGCAGCAGCACACACATTTCCTACGTAGTCTATGTCTCCCTTATTCCTGTCGTTGTTATGATCAATAGCAGCAAGGGTATCAGAGGGTCCATGAGGGGCCCCCTTAAGGGTGGGGCCCCCCGTCGGGGCCCCCTTGATGCGGTAGCAGCAGCAGCAGACGTGCGCAAGGCGCTACTGCTGCTGCAGTCTGCTGACGTCGTTGCAGCAGATGCAGGTAGTTGGGGCCCCCTTGCTGCTTATTGGGACCCTATGGAGCAGCAGAAGGGGTCTCATGCAGGGGGCCCCCCCGGGGCCCCCAGGGGCCCCCATCCCCTCATATTTGCATTAGAGGACTTTAAGGAAATGGAGAAGAGGGAGAGAAGGAGGCAGCTAAGACAATGCCAGTGCTCCCCTCAGCAGCAGCAGCAGCAGCAGCAGCAGCAGCAAGAAGGTACATTATTTGCTGCTCGTGCTGCAGTAGTATTTATATCTAATTTTATAGATATTTCTTTACCTTTTCTTTTTTCTTTTATTTCTTTTCTTCCTTCCCTCTCTCGTCTTACTATTTGCTCCTTCTTCTCTGTAAGTCTTTTCTTATTACTCCTTTTATTTATATAATAAAGGGGGGCCCCCTAATACCCTATGAAGGGGCCCCCATAAAGGGCCCTCTAAGCGGGGGGGCCCCCAAAGACCCTAGGAAGGGGCGTAGAAGAGGGGGCCCCTTTTTAGGCACCTTAGGGCCCCCACTAAGGGGCTCCTACGAAGGGGCCCCTACGAAGGGGCCCCTAAGAAGGGGCCTCTTCTCTAATAGGGGCCCCTACTGTATGGTGTGTCGCTCCTACTACTACTAGTACCTCTACTATTGCTGCTGCTGTTGCTGCTGCTGCTGCTGCTGCTGCTGCTGCTGTGTACAGGAGGAGCAACACTTATGGCACTCTCGCTGCATGCAGCAGCAACCCCCATCTCTACAACGAATCATTAAGACCCTCTCTACCTCAAGGGGCCCCCCAACAGGGGGCCCCTCATCGGGGGGGGCCCTCTCAGGGGGCCCCCCTCAGGGGGCCCCCTTGGATGTGGATATATTGCATACCCCTTTGCATGCATTGGGTATAAATGGGGCTTCCTTCTTATTAACAGGTTTGTATAAGAGAGAATATTTATTTATTTATTTTATTTATTTATTTATTTATTTATTTATTTATTTATTTATTTATTTATTTATT